CAAATGAGCCACGCCCAAGATCCTGTGGCTTATGGTTTACCAACATGGTATTATAGGTTATATCTTCCTTTCTATGACCTCTCCGAAACCAAGTTGTAGAACCATCTACTAAAATGCCCACGGTTGCATCCTCCACACCCCTGCACCCCCTCGCCCTCGCATCCAATCGCCCCACCCGCCGAATCACCAAATGAGCCACAATCAATGCCTGGCACCAAAAGAGGTCTACCCAAACCATGTAACAAATGGCAAAGGGTGGATATCCACACCAATGTCTTCTTGGGATCGTCCCTTTTCATCCATTTTCCCAACCTCTTCTTTGACTCTACCCCTTGGTTTCGTTGGATCCAACCAAAACTCCACCAGTTGCGGGATCCTGGGAAGGTGCCCCTCTCCCAAACCCCCCACCCCCACCCCCCCGGCCCCCCACCCGCCCCACAAGCCGCGGCTTTTTGGCCTCGGCGGAGCGGTCGGGGAAGTCGAAATCCGCCTGGCGCTCCCCGTTGATCTTCAGCTCAAAGCCCTCGGCGGACCGAACCGAAAACCCGAAGAACGAGACCAACGGTTCACCTGGAACCCAAAAAGGGCCGGTGGCTCACGGAAATCCCAGAAGTTGGGGGTCTTGGGTCAAGACCTTCACTTTTTTTCGGAGAGCAAAGAAGCTGGGGGTGGTTTGGTCATAGCACCTCTCACTTGTACTCAAAATTGCCTGGAACCGTACTCAGGCTTGCTCCAGAACTGAGGTTGACTCTGCAGTCAACTAGATGGAAATCAAGAGCAGCAGGCACAAACTCTGGTCCGATATAAATGAATTCAGCTTTCGCCACTCAAAATATTGCGGATCCAACAACGAACAGGGTTCCCTATATTTCTCCCTTAAACCAGGAAAACGAAACTCACTTCAAGCTTCAAAAGGTGATCTTCAAATCCAGTCGGACTTTTTCGGGATCCCAGAAGGAACCACAAAATATACACCCACAAACCCACGGAGCCTGCAACCGGTCCGTCCCCGGGACCTGCCCCTCGCTCCTCGACCCCCAAAAACCCACGCAGCCTGCAACCGGTCCGTTTCCGGGACCTGCCCCTCGACCCCAAAAACCCACGGAGCCTCCTGCCCGTCCCGGACCTGCCCCTCGACCCCCCCCCCCCAAAACAAAAACCAACGGAGCCTGCAACCGGTCCGTTTCCGGGACCTGCCCCTCGACCCCAAAAACCCACGGAGCCTCCTGCCCGTCCCGGACCTGCCCCTCGACCCCCCCCCCCCCAAAACAAAAACCAACCCCCAAAACAAAAACCCACGCGGTCCGTCCCCGACACCTGCCTCCCCCCAAGCCCCGCGCCTCGTCGGACTTCTCAAAGGACACCTCGAACTCCTCGCCCTCGGCGCCCAGTGGGCAGCCGCCGGACCGGATCTCGCTGCCTGGCAGGAGCCGACGGGAGGGAGGGTTAGGGGGGAGGGGGGGTAGGGGGGAGGGGGTGGGGGGGGGTAGGGGGGGGGAAGGGGGGTAGGGGCGGTGTTGATGGCCCTGGTAGTTGATTGAACCACCAGAAAACCCACAAACATGGAGGGTTTGGGTTTGGACCATTTGCTTTCAAAATGAACCATGTCCCTGGTGGGTCCCATATTCGGGGACCAGAAGGGAATTGGAACCAGGTACGTGAAAACCGCATTCAGTCATGATTGTTGGTGCAAACCACTAGTAACTTTGTCGGCAGCTTATATTGTGTGAAGGCAATCGAGTGTAGGTTTGATCTTTGCAACAAGTGCTATAGTCGCCCATAAAACACACACACGCACACACACCCACACACACACACACACACTCTCACACTCTCACACTCACACACTCTCACACTCTCACACTCTCACACTCACTCACTCACTCACTCACTCGCTCGCTCGCTCGCTCGCTCGCTCGCTCGCTCGCACGCTCGCACGCACGCACGCACGCACGCGCACGCAACGCACTTGCATACGCGCACAACGCGCACAACGCGCACAACGCGCACAACGCGCACAACGCGCACAACGCGCACAACGCGCACACAACGCGCACAACGCGCACAACGCGCACAACGCGCACAACGCGCACAACGCACTCGCGCACTCGCGCACTCTCGCGCACTCACGCACTCACGCACTCACGCACTCACGCACTCACGCACACACACACACACACACACACACACACACCCAGACAAAGACGCAAAGGCAAATGCGGCAACGGGGTTGGGCAAGATGTTCATCCCACGAGTCCAGGGAAACGCAAAAACCTAAAGTTTCCGCTCGCAAGAAGTCCTTTGGAATCCTCAGAAGCACAGGAAGATGCGGACCATTCGACAATTCTTTTCAAGCCAAACCTCCTCGAAACAGCCAGCAATGCCATAGCACCCCCACCCACTCCACCAGCACCCCTCCATCCGAGTCCCCTCCTCAACCCTCGCCCACCGCGTCGCTCGCGCCTTTTTGGGCATCGATCATGGAGTTCCGCAGGATGCACTTGCGCTGGGTGCAGGGGGCGAAGGAGAAGCAGCAGTCGTTAGCGGTGTAGAAGCACAATCGCCAGTCCACCCCGTCCTAGCGCTGGTCTTGTCTGGGGCCCATATGGGTGACATGCGATTCAGAGTCCAACCCGAATAGCCCATAAAGACGGTGGTTGGAAAATCAATCGCCTTAAGTGTCCACCATATGGTACCCTCCCCCTTCGAGGGTTGCTGGAGGGAAATCAAATGACCCACCCACCCACCCACCTACCCACCCACCTGCATTTTCCACTTTAGGGGACATCACGATGGGTTCAAATTGGGGCCACACATGCCCTGCAGGGATGCCAGCCCCTGTCGTGTATTCCAACATGTTCCATGGCCAGAGCACAAGTTCCGCATTGTTGGATTGAATGGTCGCCAACCGGAGACATCATCCTCAGCTTGCAAGGACCTACCGGAATCTAAGCACGCGTGGGTGTGGCTCAACGTTTCCTTTACCAATTGGTTGATGGGGTCCCTCTGCTTGGGGACTTCACTTGGGTAGCAGCCAACTAGTTCCAGCTTTTGCCCCCAGTAGCTGCGGTCTACTTACCTGACTCGAGTTGGGTCACAATCGAAAGCTGGTGTTAAAAAGGTCTACTTCTGGCTTGGTCTGGTCCATACCAACCTTCACTTACACGGGTTTTGAATATGGCTCACCTGACTTGAGTTGACCATCCAAACCATCTGGCAACCTTTCGCTCGCTGAAAGCTGGCCCGGGAACCGCCGGCATCCAGTCATATCAACCGTGATGATTCGGACTATGTTCTTCGAAATAAGGAAAATGGCTGTGACTGACAAATGCTCTTTCCCCGTGTATCCCTTCTTACCCGTGTCCATGAAATGGCTTAACGCTTGAAGCGTTGTTGTGTGTATCCCGGAGGTTATAGATAACGCGGAGCAACCTATAAACTCTCCAATTAGTCAATGAACATCAATAAATACGAATTTATATTGTCCGCAAAGATAATACATACCTTCCAACGGGACCAAGTGCAAAGGAGCCACCCACGGGAGAGTCGGGCCCACGAATTCGTCTGGCAGAGAACTTGGGGCATTTTTCTGTGGCCGGGGACCGGAAAAACAACAAACTAACCATCCCCTTTTCGTTCTGGTGCAGGAAAAATCAAAAAATGCATTGGCGCGTGTTTTGCCCGCAGTCATATCCATATTCATGGGTCGCAAAGTCAACCATCACATGCTTTGGCAATTTGGCAACCAAGCCCCTCTGGCAGTTTCTCAAACTAGTCCCCAAAAAGGAAAAATGCTTTCCTAATACCAACGAAACAACGGTCCGAACCCCATTCTCACAAACACATCTCCCGTCCTTGCGGGTGTACCCGCTGCCCTTCACTATGATGCGGTCGCCCTCCTGGAACCTCACCGCGACGCGCCTGGCATCTGAATCCGGCGAGGGGACACGGAAAAAGGCAGAGCGGGGCGTCTCTCTTTTTTTGAGAGGAGAACCACCCTGGTGGGGGGTCCCCAGATTTTGATACATACCCAAATGCCGTCAAGATCTCCACCACTCAATATCACGCAACTTGGCATTGCCTCACTCAAACAAGCACCAGAAAAACTACTGAAAAGATAAAATACATGGGGTTTGATCAGGTTTTGATCCCCTAGATGCTGTTGACACAAAGTATGCCAGCAATCCGCTTTGGGCTTCCTGCTAGGAAGCCGAAAGGGGACGGCTTGAGTTTGTTGAGGGTGCCCTTTCCAGGATACTTCTTTTTAAAGGTAAGCCGAAAGGAAAACACTCTTCTAGGCCCCCATACTTTGACCCGTACCCTCTCAGCACCCAGATTCATGGACCTGTACCATGTCCTTCCAGAACTCCGATCGCTAGCTCCTTAGCTCCCTCCTCGGCCAATTTGGATACCCAGCTCCGCAAGGGCTCCCCTACCACCAAGGGCCTGGAGAGGTTCCTCTGGCAGGCGTCGCAGAGGTCGTAGTCGCAGTCCCTGCAGCGGTAGGCCGTGCCGCTCGCGCTGCAGAAGTTGCAGCGGTTGCCTCAAGCGTCCCGGAGTGAGCCTCTGCCCAAGAGGTCCTTTTACATGCTCATACGTGTTTATACAAGTATTGCATGTATGTACACAGATGTATATATATATATATATGTATGTATGTAGTGTAAATATGTAATGCAATGTAAAGTAATGTAATGTAATGTAATGCAATGTAATGCAACGTAATGCAATGTAATGCAATGTAATGCAATGTAATGCAATGTAATGTTATGCAATGTAATGTTATGTAATGTAATGTTATGTAATGATATGTAATGTAATGCTATGCTATGGAAGGTTATGTAATGTTATGTAATATTATGTAGTGTTATGTAATGGTATGTACTGTTATGTAGTGTTACAGTATGTAGTGTTATGTAACGATATGTGATGTTATGTGATGTTATCTGATGTGTATTGATGTGTATGTGATGTTATGTATGTTGTGTATGTTGTGTATGTTATGTATGGTATGTATGTTATGTATGTTATGTATGCTATGTATGTTATGTACTGTTGTGTGTATGTATGTACGTACGTATCTATCTATGTATGTATCTATGTAGTTATGTATGTATGTATGTATGTATGTATGTATGTATGTATGTATGTATGTATGTATGTATGTATGTATGTATGTATGTATTTATGTATGTGTATGTATGTATGCGTATGTATGTATGTATATGTATGTATGTGTATGTATGTATGTATGTATGTATGTATGTATGTATGTATGTATGTATGTATGTATGTATGTATGTATGTATGTGTATGTATGTATGTATGTATGTATGTATGTATGTATGTATGTATGTATGTATGTATGTATGTATGTATGTATGTATGTATGTATGTATGTATGTATGTATGTATGTATGTATGTATGTATGTATGTATGTATGTATGTATGTATGTATGTATGTATGTATGTATGTATGTAGGTACGTACGTACGTAGGTAGGTAGGTAGGTATGTATGTATGTATGTATGTATGTATGTATGTATGTATGTATGTATGTATGTATGTATGTATGTATGTATGTATGTATGTATATTTGGAAGAGGAGCCAAAAATTGAATTTTAGCAGTTATATATGTGGTTGGATTTCAACCACTCAACCACAATAAGCAAACATGTAAAATGTCTCCCAACAACAACCATGGAATGGCGCTAGCCCTCTCATTTGCTTTGTTTGCCTTATTTGTCTTCTCTTTTCGGCCGGGGAATTGGCGCTTTCGGATGGTTTCCAGGCGACTCCCGAGTGCTCCGACTGCGCCGACTGCGCCGACTGCGCCGACGGCGACGCCGCGGGGCTCTTCTTCTTCTCCGGCTGCAGCTCGTGGCCGTTGCGGCAGGCGGTGGCCAGCAGCTCCGCAGGCACCGCGCGCAGCGGCTTGCGGCGCCGCATGATGCCGTCCTCCTCCAGCTCCTGGAGTCGGAGAATGGGGTGGGGGGTGGGGTGGGGGGAGTGGGGAGGGGGGTGGGGGGAGTGGGGAGGGGGGTGGGGGGAGTGGGGAGGGGGGAGTGTGGAGGGGGGAGAGTGGGGGGGGTGGGGGGTTGGGGGGACATGACTCACCCAAAGTGATGTCCACCAGAAGATCCTAGACTCACTAACTATATCACACGCAAATGGTTTTGTGTTTTTCCAGGTTTTTTTGGTTTGAATGTTACAACATCCTGCACCTAAGAAATGTTACTTGAACCCCCAACCCCCCCCACCCCCCACCCCACTGTCAACTCTTTAAAGTCATGTCCATCTTTAAAGGTACCCTTTTTTGTCGGGGTTGTGTTGTTTAGGGGTTTGTGTTCAATGGACATGGCTCCGATTTCAGCTTACAGATGACAACTAGATGCGCATGAGCTCATTAACAACTCACTGGCCCCAAGCTGGGGAGGGTTTGAGTGATAGCGACCTCAGGGAAGACTTGACGTGGCCTTGTTGAATTATGTGTATATGGGCGTGCCCTTCTTTGAGGGTACCCCTGTTTTGTGTACAAATCTGTTTTTTTCCTTGTACCAAGTTCCCTGGCTCCAAAAAGAAACTGCCCTTTGAAACCTGGAGAGCAGCCAAAGAAGTTTCCGCAAAGGACACGTTCTGGCCATATCATTGAAATTAACCTCTGCTCTTGCAAAGGGTTTCTACCAGTATCAGAGAGCTTGAGGTGTATCCTCCAGTGGTTTCCCTTTGGCTTCCATTTGCAGCCACGAGCCAAAAAGGGTACCGAGCCCAAACACACCCAAATGACGGATGCAACTCTTGAGCTCGGACAGCCACAGCTTCACCTCAGGATAGCTTGACGGAAACAACAAGCCACCTGCCTTACAAGCGGATCCTTTAAATCAGCTGGTGGACCCATTTAAAAGATTCTACACTGGAGCCAAAGGCATGGGTATCCGTTTGGGAAAATAGATGGCCCCGATTGATTCTGGTTCGCTACCAGGCCAACCGGAATCGCAATCAATGTTCGACACAAAAGGCCTTGTGGAGGTCCTTCCCAAAATCCCCCTCCTTCCTCCCTCCTTCCTCGCTCCTTCCTCCCTCCTTCCTCGCTCCTTCCTCGCTCCTTCCTCCCTCCTTCCTCTCTCCCCTCCCTCCCCTCCCTCCCCCTCCCCACCCCTCCCCTCCCCTCCCCTCCCCTCCCCCTCCCCTCCCCTCCCCTCCCCTCCCTCTCCCCTCCCTCCCCCTCCCCTCCTCCCCCTCCCCTCCCTCCCCTCCCCTCCCTCCCTCCTCCCCCACAACCCTTCCACAACGAAGACGCGTCCTGCTCATCCTCTTTCACAGCAGCGTTGGTCGAGCGCTCGCCCCCTGAGTTGACCTCGTCCCACTCCTCGCCCGCAATTGCCATAAACTAGCGCTACGGATGTCTGATTCGCCGTAATTTCCCACGGTTTTGTGGGGTTGGGTGTGTGTTGATTACTTGCAATATTGAGTTGGCCTCCACTGTACTGCAGATGCGCACTTTTGTTTAACCTCGCAGTCGGATGGAATGAAACCCTAAGGCTGGCATAAACCACCGGACTGGTGCAGGATGTTGTCCCTGAACTGGAGCTGTTATGCATCTCAGAGGCTAGGCTGCCCCATTTGAGGTGCGGTGTACTTGTCAGCCATTCAGCGCTGACGCCATTTGTGTCAGAGGCCGAAAACAGAAAATACAGTTCCACCTGGACTCGAGAAAATATGACGGGGAAGAAACAGAGTTTGTTCCATCGGTTGGAGCCGTTCGCTTGAAACCTGGGCTTGTCCTACAAAACCACTTTCAGTCAACCACAGCCTTGCCTTTCTGGACCGTTGGAGTGACTTTCTAACTTCATCCACTAAAATATGATTGGGGGACGTCAAACATCCCGCTTTTCGGGCGATGACCAGACTCGTCCTGTCCATCAGGCCAGTCAATATGCATGATAGAGGCTTCTCCCATCTTTGGATGCTAATTGTGATCCCTTTGGCTGCGCGAAATGGCGGTCATGTTGACCGCCACTATGGGGGTGCCAATATTTGAGGCTGTATACCCTTTTTGTGTCGTGCGGAAAAACCGAAGGAACAGTCTATCATGTTGAGGGCCCCTATTGTCAGGCGCACCACAAGGGGTCTGTCTTTTTTGAGGCAACCCAATTTTGCGGTTTCAAAGCAAAAACACAAACAAAGCGACCGTTTTTGGTGTGTCTGGGGAAAAACAAAAAACAAAACAAAAAACATCTGGTCAAAGTGAATTCACCGTCCTCGGGATCGTCCATTGGGTCGGTCTGAGCCTCAACCTCCCCACCGAACCCGCCAGAGCCTGCGGACGGGGTGGGGAATGCACAGCACTCACAGCATCGCTGGAAAACGGGTGTGTCCTTTTTCCCCAACAGCTGCAAGCGATTTGGGGTTGATAGGCCCAGGAAGGCTCGACCGGTGTGGCTTGGGGCAGCTTTCGGGGAGAGTCCAGAGGTTTTCGGGGCTGTTGGGGATATCAGACATGTTTGTTTCATGGTACCAGTTTGGAAGGCGTCTTTAGCCTCATTTTGGGAGGATCGGTTCCGCTTACATGGTGCAGATTTACCATGACTACATGATTTTCTCTTGAAATAGGGGGACCCCTTTGTCGATGGTTGTAAAGGGAAACTAAAAGGAAACCAGCACCCAGAGGAGAAAAACCCATAGCTTGGCTGCATCTTCAAGGGTGTCACCTTCTCAGAGACGCAGCCACAGCATCCCCTTCAGCCAACCCTGCCGTTACACCGACCCCAACCCCTCAGGCCTGCAACTGTTTCAGCCAGTAGATATATGTTCTTTCGCCATGTTTGGGGGGTAAAGAGATGAGACATCCTCCCACACCCTAACATGGAAGTCACCTTCCAGGTCCGTCTAGGAGAGAAAGGTTGACACGCCCACATGTTTGGTGTGTACCAAGCCTTGACTTTGTTCCCTGGCCAAGATATAAGATGTTCAACTTTAGTGATGCTCTCTCCTCCCTGCTCAACATGTGCGATCAACTCCAAGGAAGGAAACACGGCGGGAGGCTACTAAATTTTACGACCCTGCGTTTGCGTTGATACCTGCGGATGGGAGAGAAACGCGTAAGCAACCAGAATCTGAAATTGAAGCCAGGGAGGAAACCCTTGGTTGGTGGCTTGGATTGGTGGTTTGGGACTTCGAACCCCTAATTCTTCTTGTTGGTTGACTTCGACGCCAGCCCCAACTTCCAAGCCGAGCTCCCACCAAACCAAGGTTTGGGAAGCCGGCAAAAAGGAGGTTAAGCTCGAACAGTTGCTTCCGTGGCCACGAGTTGGACCCGTGGAAGCTCCTGACTCTCTTCGGGCCTTGGGATTCACCTCGGTTGCTTACTGCTCCCCTGCTAAAAGTTTTTAACTTTTATTGGTTTAATACGGAAAACCAAGTCGTTGGCAAAAAGTTAAAGTCCTAGCATCCAAGCAACATGCAAAGTCAAGCCACGGCTTCCGCTTCCATCCATCCACCGCCCCCCACCGCCTTTGACAGCTGTGCGGCTCACCGTGGTGGAAGCGTCGTGGTTGACGAGGTCGCAACTGGAGCCCCCAGCCTGCCCACCGCAACTCGGGCGCTCGCCCTGCAAATCCCCCCTTTGCCGAACGAATAACTTGGTTGTTGTTGGAAGGGGAGCAAACAAATAATTTTTGCAGTTAGATGAGGATTTCCCACTAAATCACAATAAGCAAAAATGCAATTTGTTTCCCAACAACAACCATGATAAGCTCCGGTGCTCTGCCCAACAGCACCACACCCGTATGGGTTCTGCAGATGTGAAAGGTACTACTCAGCGTGCGGATTGGATGCTATTCTGTGATTGCCGAAGAACAAAACGGGAGCATCGGAAACCAATTTCTGAAAGCGAATGGAGAATTGAGGGAAGCCAAACATTGGACACCCAAGAAGTGAAACGGGAACCCAAGTGTGTGGATCCAACTTGGGGAACTCGAAAACGAGTCTCTGGCAGATCCACCTATTTTTGACCCACCCAAATGTGTGCAAGCAAAACTGCAGGAAAGTCCTACTATCCGTGCCCCCATGTCCCCATCCTCCAATCAGGTTGAATTGTGTTGAAACTGCCGTCCCTCGTTTACCCAAGTCGCCAGAGGGGGGTCGACAGGCCCAGATGGGCTCGATCTGGGCGGTTTGGGACAGCTTTCAAGGGGGTTGGGCATAGCACCTGGGCTCATTTTTCAGAATTTGAGTGAGATCAAAAACTTGTCAAGATCTTAGGGCAAATGTGCGCATCCCTGCCCAACCCCAAATCGCTTTCAGCTGGAGAAGATTCTCAAACGATTTAAGAAGGATCCGCATCTAGGTCCTCCAGTAGAGAAATAGAATAAGTTGCTACCAACTTTTTCCTGTAGTCTATTTTAGTGGGGGAACCCTCCCCAAGAAAAGAAACGGCAAAAGGGCACTACTGGGGGACCTAGAAGGGATCCCCATTGGCATCCACCCCTTCCAGTCGCCTCGTAGCGTTCCCAGACTGCCCACGGCTGTGGACGTTCGTCCAGTGCAGGCTGCAGCTCCCTCAAGCAGAGCCGCGCATTGCCTCAAGTGCACCCGCCCACCCAAGAGGACACGGGGGTTTCCACCAAAACGTCATGATTAGGCCCAGTTATAGAATGTATATGTTATTGCTTGCTTCACTTTGAGACACTAGTGAAATGCAAATCCTGAGTCCAGACAGGATCTGTAAGTTTCCCCAGCGCGAAGGTCTCATCGAAACATGTGGGATGTCAAATTCCACAGCTTGTATGTTCTCCTCACCAACCGTAGACTGCCAATGATAAGGCCAGGAATTCATGTGAGCGTGCCACGGCGTGTCTTTGCTTGCTTCTCTTTCGGGGATCTGCGGGGAAGCCAACAAGCCACTCAGTGTGGCCGGGCCCAATATGATTGCCTCTGGACAGGGAAATGGCCCCCCACAGCCTTTAAGTGTAAGTTTGATCTTCCAAATTTCCCACAGGTGCTACATACCTAGTTGAAGCTAGTGACCCGAGTGATATTAAAAGGGAACCCTCCTGGAGTTGACCATTTTCAGGCAAGAACCCACCAAACAACAGGGGCAAACGGTGCTAGCGAACGGCCGACTCTATTGAAGCCAGAAGGTAAGGGGCAGCCCTATGAACGGAAGAGGTCGCAGCCTCACCTCCCAGAAAGGAAACAGGTCTCAGGTTTTCCCCAAAGCCCTCAAAAACACCTCGTGAGGCTCTTGTCTGCGCACACCTGGAGGGTTGAGGAGGATCCCATAGAGCCCCAGCCGGCATGTTAAAAATCATCCTTCCCCCCCGGTTAGGTCACGATGTAGTATGGTCCCCAAGAAACATTCCAAGCTGACACTGCCCAAAGTCCAAAGAAGCAAGTGGTACCCCAAACCAACTGTTCCTGCCATCCTTCCCAGCCTTGTGTGGGCGGTTTTAGGGTGCATTTGTCCGGTACGAAAAGATCGAATCCGCAACTTGATGTAGATTAAGTGAATGAAGCGAGCTGCGCATTTCGTCAAGCGACTAAACTGATTGAGCGGAATGCAACGCAAGCGCAGAGATTGATGGGCAAGCCTAATCGCAGCGTTGCGACCTTATGTGAGTTGGTACCAAGGTGTTTTGGTGGCTGAGGGGAACCAAAGAGCAAACGACCTTTTGGGGTCCGATTCCAAAAACCACCCGATTCACAACGGCAAGGAATTTCTCGCCTCGCATGCCTCCATCAAGGGGCTAAATGACTTCTGCTTGTGGCAAAGTTTCCCTGGAAGTGAGGAGATCAGCTACCCTAATTCTGGTCTGCTTCACATAAAAAGCCATCAGCTTCAGTGGAAGTTCCTTTTCGGGTTTCTCTTTTTGGGTCCACGTCAAGCTTGCTGGAGAGGATTCCGGAACCCGGAGCGACTTGATGTTTTCCGCTCGAACGACTTGCTTCCCAGGCGCTGGAGTATTCCAGCTGACGGTAGAGCTGCTGCCCGTAGCCACTGGCAAGACGTGAAAGCTCCAGGGAAAGCTTAGTGTGGGTTGGGTCAAAATAAGGGGTCCTTTTTGGCAGCCCCTTTAAAAAGGCGGCACCAGGCGGCACCAGGGTCCAAAAGGGGACCATACTTTTGACAACTCCCCAATATGTGTGTGTGTGTGCGTTTCTTTGAGGCTCGGTACCCTTTTTGGGGAAGTCTCCCTACTTTGACACGCACCAATATCGCCCCTAGTTGATGAAAACTTGGAGGCTGAATAGGGTCTTCCTCCAATTCCTCTCCAAACTGGGACACTATCAATCGGCGGGTTGACTGATGCTGGGTTCCCCTTGCATCTCTGACGGGTGACGCAGGGTATACTTCGGGGAAGTATTTCAGGTTGACCTCCCACCGAGGCTGAGAAAAGTGCCCACTGCACGTGGGCACACGTGGCGGTAAGGCGGGCCGTTTTGCTTGGCGCAAAGTGTGCGCCTTGTTGGAGAAGGCCACTGGTTACACTGAAGCCTATGCCATAGTGTCAAAGCACTCAATCGGAGCTTGTCAGTGCTACCTTCGTAGGAATGTATCTAAACTCCTGGCCGTCAGGTGGATAATTTGCCTGAACCAAGATTGTCCATGGAACGTGTGTTCCAAACGGCACGCAAAGCTCTTGCTATTTGAGGAGGCCAGGGGACAAATGGCATGGGCATCAGTTTCGAACGTGGGCATAAGAGCAGATCTGGCACTGACCGGGTAATTCGCGGGCTCGTTTTTGTTGGTCACTGTCCAAAGTAAAGGCGAGTTCTTCTGGAGCCACTGCACGCCCGAAGGGGCCGCTGGATGCTCACTTGCGAGGGCCTCCCAGCCTGCTGAATCGCCACGGCTGCAAGGCCCACTGAGTTCAGAGACGACGAGAAGACGTGTTACCGGCAGCTCCCTTTGTACATCTAGTCCTTGATTTGGTTTTGTTGCAAGTCAGGCCCTTCCTTCTAACTCCTGACTGCTTTTCCCGGCAGACATGCCGCCAACGGGGGCTCCTGCCCCTTCTCCCCCCCCTTCTCCCCCCCCCCCCCCCCCCCTCCCCCCCCCCTTCTCCCTGCCCCAAAGCCCCTGCCTGATGCCGAAGACTTGGATCATCCGGCGATCCCGGTAGAGATAGATCTCCTTCCAGATCCGCGCCTTGGCCTCCTGGTGCATGCCCACCATGCACACCACCGTGGTGTCTGGCTGGATGGGCTCGTCCTCACGAGGAGAAAAAGCACGGAAAACGCGGAAATCGTGGTTTCGTAACCGCCCCAAGGAGCAACGCCCAAAACCGAGGCTCCAACCTTGTTATACAGATTGTGTCGGTCTTGCATGAAAACATGTGGGTGTGTCTTGTTTTAGGGGACCCCCAAAAATGGTGGTGTTCCTCTTGGTTGTCCTCCAAATTCCGCAAAAAGGGTATCTCTCAAAAAAACCACACCCATGAAGCAGAACGGGCGGTTCAGGAGCCTTGAATCCTGAAGCAAGTCACTACGGGTTGATTCGGGATGGCTGGTTGGCTGGATGGCTGGTTGGCTTTGGTTGCCTGGTTGCCTTTGTTTGAGAAGCGGTTCTCGGGGTTGCCCTCCAGTTGCCCAAGCCGGCCGCCGTGCGGCCCGTCCCGCAAGCCACGCGCCGAGTCTCCTTCATGAAGAAGAGCGGCGGCCGCTTGGGGGGCGGGGGGATGAAGAACTTCTGGCGCACAGGCTCGAAGAGCTCGGCGATCCAGAACTCGTCCTCGCGCCGGCCAGGCGGTTGTTGTTTGTTTTTGATTTTTTTTGCCGCGGTGTGCGCCCCAAACAATATATATCTAAAAAATGTTGTTTGCCGGGTTTGCCCACCCCCCCCCCCCTCCCCCCCCCAAAAAAAAAGAGGATTGGGAGCGCGGGACAATGGCGGCAAGCCGGGACATGCGGATGAAGTACCCCAGAACTCCTGGTTCAGTCAGAGAGGAAAAGGCCGAAAAGAGCTCGGTTCAGTCCCTGGATCGACTCAAGAACAAATTGTCTGCCTTGTCACGGTCCTCCAGTAGAGAGCTTAGAATAAGTTGCTACCAACTTTTTTCTGTGGTCTATTTTAGCAGGGGAACCCTCCCCAAAAAAAGAAACGGTGAGAAGGGGCACTACTGGGGGATCTAGTTGTGGTTTCATCATCTTTCAGGAACTCAGCCGGTCCTCCTCCAGGTCCTCCACATCGTAGAGGCGATCCCATTCCTCAGCTTCCGGGCCCCAGCCCAGGTGGCTCATCCGTTTTCGGGCTGGGTCCCCTTTTTGTGGTTGGTTTTAAGGGGAAACCAAAAGGATACCATCCGTGTTCAGGTTCCCCTATTTTGAGACAGCCCCATATTCCTATCAAGAAAGTCCGAGAAAAGCACATTGGCCGATCCTGGTGCTTTAGAACACCCTACTTTGGGGTTGTCAACAGAGGAATCCAACAAGTGGGGCGCTGAGAGTTTGGCGTGAGGATATGAGAGCTGCCCACACGCGAGAATCATTGCTCTACTGTAAAAATATACATTGCTAGATCTGCTCGTCTGGGGAAGGCATGAAGGCCGGTCCAAGCCTTTTCTCCCACTCTCCGCCGGCCCTTAGGCCGAGACAAAACAAACCACCTCCCCAAACTGCCTGAAACCCGCACATCTTCCCCCACATCAACACATCCAATGCAAAGGCTTCAATGGAGCGCCCAGTCCAACCACTTTCCTCAAGCCACAGATCCCCCCAACCCCCCCCCCAAAAAAAAACATCAAAATAAGCCCAGTGGTATCCCCGCCCCGAAACCCTTGGGAACACTTCGGAAGCCTGCCCCAAACCACCCCCTTATCGCCTACCTGGACCTATCTTGACCCCACATCGCTTTCAGCTGTGGAAAACAAAGCAGATCACTCACTCGCCTCGCCCCAGCCCCTCCAAAGGAATCCGAGGCACGTCCATGAAGGGCAAGTAGTTCGCGGGCTTCGAGGCCCAGTAAGTGGCCCGGAAGGGGATGGACAGCAGCTCTCGCACCGTGGCGTTGGAGGAGGTCAGCAGAGCAGAGCACTGCACCGTGGTCTTCTGGGTGGCGCCCTTCTCCTAAGACCAAAGTCGGCCAATGGTTTGGTTTGGCTGTGGTTCCTCTTCTTTGTTTGAGAAAGAAGCGGGTTCTCCTGAAAGCCAATGGGTTTGGCTGTGGTTCCTGTTCTTTTGGAGAAAGAAAAAACGGGGTGCTTCGTCTTGTGGGTGGAAAAGAAGATGGAATGTCGGGTCAGGTTTCCTTGTTTGTCCTTTGTGGAACATTGAGGATTCCGCTGGCAAATGCTTTGAACTGAACCGAGTGCACGTCTTTTTTGAGGCCCGGGGAAACGCCGAAGCCCAGTTTGGGAGTGCCCCATGAAAACACATTCATTTCTTGAAAAGCTTGAAGGGAAAGTGACATTCTAGGCGTGGTTTTGCTTTTCTACAGGGATCCTTACATTATACACGAACATTGCAACTTGTAAAGGGTGGTATTTTGGTGTTGAAAAAGCAACATGTTTCAAATGGGCAAAATGTATCTTTTTAAGGCGCCCATAGGAGCCCTGTTCTACCACTGTTCTACCAGGGGAACTTATGACTGCGGTACTGGAAAGGGCGGGCGGCTCCTTGGGGTACCACCGAAAATAGGTCAAACCTCATTTGCCTCGGCGCACGCGTTTATCTTGCAGTGGTAGAGTGTCAAACAGAGTGACACAGGACGGGAGAGCAAGGACCCGAATGTGCTACGCACTTAAAGTGAGCCACGCAACCTATTCGCGAGGTGTGACTCTCAGGATCTGAGACAACCTCCGGATGCATCATTGGTCTCCTTGTGGGGTTGGATACGATTGAGTTTGGGACATTCCTCTGATCAGTACTGGATGTCCGATGCCACCTCCGACTGCCTCAGCTATTGAAATCCCCCCAAAGTTTGATGATTCTAATCCTCATTTGTGTGGACCTTCAAGTGTAAATAAGTTCAAAGCCCATCTGAGATGCTTGCACCGGATCATTTCGGCGTTTTGAAAACGCCAAGTGGCCCCCAGCTCAGACACGAAGACGTGCCTGAAGTCCCCGTCGTTCCAAATGTGGTCCTCTAGGGGCACCAAGGTCCGGCCGCGCACCGTCACCTGACGGCACGGGGAGTTGGAAGACCGGCTGGACTATGTATGTGTTTTATGGAGATGTATGTGCGTGTCTACGAATACAAATATCGGTGTGCAAGCCGACGTATATGGAGGGGTACAAGAAGTTGCATGTATCAAAGTGTTTCTAGCTGTGAAAAAGTTGAAAGGAAAAGGCCGGACTTACGAATGGCCCGCATCTTGCAGTGGGAATATACATATGCCATTTTATGCCAGCGGCATGCCTGACTGTCTTGCAGACTTCGAGCGACCGACCAGTTAATACTGGTATCGAGCAGTGCCAACAGAAAACCTCTTGTGTGTGTGTGTGTGTGTCAATTAGGTTAGAGAGTTGGGCATAGGGGCTGTGTAGGCCTTCACCGCAATCCCCATAGCCATTTTGTGTCCTACGGTTTCAGCTACTCAGCTACTCAATTTTTGTATGGTGAAGGCATTCCCCTCCCCCCAGAAGCCCAGCAAAGACAGGCACCTGTACCCGCGCAGTCATTGCGATTCGCAGCCACAAAAGCAACCCCAATCAACGAAGCACTCACCGCGGACTTGGGCGGACATCAGCACGCACTCCTCCCGCCAAAAAAACCCGCCCTCCTGCCTGCAGAAGCTGAACGTTCAGCTCGATCCAGAAAGCGTCAGATGCGTTCACTGTCTTGATGTCTTTCGACGGCGCCTTGGCCGCCTTGGCCGCTTCCTCGCTACCTGCGCAAAAGCGACCACACAACTTTGAGTCTCCCTTGCTTCATGATGTCATGGGCTGTGCATGAGCTGCCCCTGTCTGTAATATGTGTATATACATATATATATATATATATGTACATAGATAAATATGAGTATGCACATACATATGTACATATGTATGTACATGTATATGCGTATATTCATGAGTGTCATGTCACTCAGTCAAGTCTGTCACTATCCTCCCAACCGGATTTATTCCATCTGTCCAGCTTCGCGTTTCGGTCCGGCGAGAGTTGGAAGGCCCGTCCGCGCCAATGAGCTGACAGAGCCTTCCAGTCGACGGGCCCGCGAAACCAATGCCATGCGTTGCCTTTTTCAGTGGAATCAATCAGCAGTTCCCTTAGTAAAAGGAAAGGCTGTTCATTGTGGAAAAGGCAAGCCCTTGCTCCAATAGCATGGCTCCGGTCGGCCGGCCTTGGGCGTCCTTGTCTGGTGCCGACTCGCTCAGCACGCCGAACCTGCGCGAGCGCGCAACCCACGCACCGTATGGAGGGGCTCTGGTTGCGGGAGGTACTTCCTCCAGAATATGGAAATGGATCTGTCATAGGGAACCCCAAAATGGGTTTTATTCTTTGGGTGTTCCTGTAAAACCCACCAGAAAGGGAGCCTCTCGAAAACAGATAGACCCAAATCAGCAAGCCGTCCTGAGGGACCCCCTTTCAGTTAAGTCTAAGTACACTCCGGATATATCAGTGGTTGATTCATAGAAATTACAATAAACAATGGAGGTTCTGCAAATGATAAGATAGTGGGAAATGGTAGCTGGCAGACACTAAATGGTTCTCAAGGTCATGATCCTACTGTCTGCACTTCAGCCCCAACAGCGTCAATCCACAAGAAGGGGGCGACGACTCAAACCGCATCCCCGTCCAACGGGCAGCGCACAGCGCGCGCGCGCGCGCGCGCGCGACACTCCCCCCCGGAGCGGCGACGGAGTCCCGGAGGCGACGGAGCCATCGTCCCTCGCGCCTGCCCTCGTACTCGGAGTGGTCCCCCACGCAGACCCACTCGAAGCCCGCCGTCTCCGGCGCCGAGGTGTCCCCCAGAGCCGAGAGCTGCTGATGGCAGCTCCGCAGCACCGAGTTGAAGCCCTGGAGAGCGAGAAGGACACGAGAAAGCGCATAAGAGAGGGCGGACTGGAAGGGGGGGGGTATCCTCGTTCTTTTAGGGCTGTTGTGAGGTTGTAGGGTGTTGTTGGCTGCAAAATAGACTCTTTGTGTCCATCCATGTCACTCGTTTCTTGGCTAAGTGTCCATTTCACCCATGAGGAACCCTGCGCCTGGCAAATCCGCCGACCCTCTGCCTCCCGTCCCAGCCTCCTGCAGAGGGGACCGGCGTGGGATGCAACTGGAAGTGATTGGAATCAATGATAGTCCCTGGGGGACACGCCCGAACCCACAAAAAGTGGATTCCCAGGACCGGTCCCGGGACCGGTCCCGGCACCGGGACCGGTCCAGCCTCGTCCGGGGACTGGTCCCAGGACCAGTCCCAGGACCGGCGGTTGATCCTGGGACTGGTCCCAGGACCGGTCCTGGCACTGGTCCTGGGACCGGTCCCAGGACCAGTCCTGGGACCGGTCTGGGAAGCCGGTCCGGGATCGAGTCCTGGCTTGCTGTGCTGCCTCAAACCGCTCCAGACACCTTTCCGGACTGGCACCCATGACCCTGCGACCAAACCGGCCCGTGCGGTTGTTGACGTCCTTGTGGTAGTAGAGGATCCCATCTATTCTGCAAGAGAGCCCAATGCGTCAAGTCAAACCGCGCCAGACTGGGACCAGCCTGGACAGGGTCCCAAGTCCCGGTCCCTGCCGGCGACCGGTCCAGGGCAACTTCGGGAGGGCCAGTTTCAGGGCGACCCCGGGAGAGGGCGACCCCGGGAGAGGCGACTGCTCCCGGGCCAACTCGAAGTGACTTGGGCGCAAGCCGGCCCAAGCGGTAATTAACGGACTAGCTGCCCTATTTCTGACTTTTCCGTTAATCCTTGTTTGTGGTCGTAGAGGATCTTATAAGTGGTCCCTGGGTTTGCGGACGTGTTTCAGGACCGGTCCTTGTGACTTTTCCCTTAATGCGCCGAGGGTCGGCGGCAGCAGGCGGGAGCCTGGAATAAATAGGATATGAATACTTATACTCTTCTATGACTGCAAACTGCCTGGTTGAACATCCAAGTACCGGTAAAACAAGCTGCGCGATCCGGAAAAAGGGCTGGGGAATCGGGGAGGTGGAGAGACAGGACGATGAGAAAACAGCAGGCAACCTCCAGCATTGAGCTCTCCCGGCGCTCTGGGGTCTAGAGAAATGCGTTTGGGCCAGGGCGTGCACCTAGGGGGTTGAGCCGTTTCAGGAGATAGCGCGCTTACCAACCTCCCCAAGGTGTTCAACTGCACTTTGCAAGCGCCTGTGGGGTTCGCAGGCTCTGAAACAGAGCATCTGAGAAAACGGCTCTCAAATTCTGGAAGCCGCGAAGCTTTGCGCGGCTTTTCGGACCTCCCGCTCACAGACTATCCCACCCGTATCGAGAAACGCGGCGGGCAGGAGGGCGCGGCAATGGGCACCCGGTGGAAGACAGCGTGGGAGCTGAGGCTCTGGCATCCAACTCAAAAGTAGCTCGCCCAAAACTGGCATGCCACCCTCTAAGGTTTCTTGGCCTTCCAAAAGAGGAGCAAACTTGCCTCCTGTAGCCTCTTGTTCGCCTTAAGTCATGGGATTCCACCCCCCCTCCTGCCCTGACTTCAACCAAAATTGGATCATTTGGCCTTCGGACTTCCACCCCCCCGGCCTGCATGGCATTGATGCGCCTCTGCTCCACCAGCCACCTCACCTCAAGGAGACCAGCGCTTCGTTCGTTAATCAAGGCTGGCCTCAACAAGCCCTCCCCGCAGGATTGAAACAAGTGCCCAATCTTCGAAACACCGCCTTTGCGGATAGCCCAGGAAATCCAGGTGGTGGTTTTTTGGGGGAGGGTGCGGCAATTCTGCTGAGCCTCCGAAACCTGATCTCAGGGCCAACTACAATCTTCAACACTGTTATGACCCTCATTGGATTTTAATCCCCAAAAAGATGGCATTCCAATTTCAATTTCTCAGGCCAGTGTTTGCCGATAGACCTGGGATCCAAACAAGAGCGATCTTCGTGATGGCCAGGTCCTCAAACAGAACAGATGTCCTCGCCCAGAATCCTTCCCTTCCCGACAAAAGCCGCCGAGCTCTGAGGCGAACTCGAAAAAAAGAGAACAGCTCCAAGGGCAAGATAAATGAAATCGCAAGACCCATTGAGATGTCAAGCACTCAAACCAAAACAGAGATACATGTGGACCCCTGCATAAAATCACGGGAATCACAGGAATGGGATGAGGCATCGCCAGTTGTGCAAAGGAAAGCCAGCATGCACTCACCACATTGATGGTGTCAGACAATGGCAAACAATCCACAATATAGCGCGCACAAACAGAAGCGAGCTCCTAACATCCGCAAACTAAGGCAAGATGCGGAGATTTGATGACGTGTCGGTGGTTGTCGCAATGAGGGAAGGCGGAATTGACGACGTCAGGGTCCGTGTGTCTGCAGCCCACCTCTTTTTAGGCCTCCCCCCATCCACAGGTTTGACCCGCCTTGGAGAGAACCCCATCCAACACATCTCGGTGTGTCTTTGTTGGAGTTCCCCTTAAAAATACATGCCCAAGTAAATCAATCCTCAAAAAGGGTACCCTCAAAAAGGCTTCAAACAGGCGTGTCAAAATAGGGTGACCCCTACAAACCGTGGCTTTCCTTTTTGGTTCCCTTCAATCAAATAAACCTCGAAAGGGTACGGAGCATAGAAAACCGAGCCAAGCCCCAAAAGGGGATTTGTTAAAGGGTACTTACCCCCAAGACAGCCCCAAAAAATGCAAACATTCCGAGAGCAGCGGATCCTACAAACTTCAAGCGCAGAATCCAGACTTGCATGGTTTAACTGGTGGTTACACAAAAAAGAAGAAGACGCGCCACCCCCAAACCGGCACCCAGCCCAAACACACTCGTCCCCCCCCCCCCGCGTCGCGCGCGGGGGGCGTTCCGCCCGAGTTCCGAGGCGCCATGAAGCGGCGGTGCAGCTGCAGGGCTTCGAAGAGCTCCGTCTCCGGCACCTCCAGCCTGGCGCGGAAAAAAAAAAAACCGACCGCGCGGGGGCGGGCGCGGGCAGGCGCGCTGGAGGCGCGTGGGGCGCGAGTGAGAGCACCGGGGGTTGGGGCCACGGCCATTTGTTTGTTGCCGTGGGGGGAAAGGGGGGGGGGAGGGGTTCCTGGTTGTTCTTCTTTTCTGTTTTTTTTCTCTTTGTTTTCTTTTTTTTTGGGGGGGGGTTCCCCGGTGACTTGTTTTGGACACAAGCTTTTGGGTGGCTGGTCTGCTTAAGAGCTTGCGCCCTGTTTGTTTCTGGTGAAGCGAAAGTGGACGTGAATCTCCTGAATGATGTGCACCAAAGGGCTCCCAATGCAAATCCAGGGCCAAATGGTTGGTTCTCGACATTGGGGACCTTGTGTGGTTTCCTTTTGGCCTCCCCGCTCTCACCATCCAAGGGGACCCCTAGAGACACACCGCTCGCCACCGGATGCCCAGTTGCCTCTCTTGGTTGAAGGTGTGGTGGGAGGACAGGTAGGTCATGGAGGCCAGGAACCGGCGGATCCGGTCAGAATTGAAGTCGCTCTGCGGCACGTTGCGGAGCACCAGGACCTACGCGACTCGACGATGCGACTCGACGCACGGCTTTTCCAGAGGGGTTCCATAGCATACCCAAAGGTGTCGAAAAATAGGGGGCCCAAACACTTGCCAAGGCTTACTCTCTAAAGGGAAAGCTTTCAAATTCCAAAACCCTGTCAGCTTCCATGATTGAAGGGAGGTGGTGTTGTATACCTAGGTCAAGCTGAACATAATTTGGACCAAACAAGCTCAAGACAGGGCGGACGGCAAAGAGCGCCCTTGAACTGGAGGGGTTGCAAGGGGTCTCCCATCAAACTTGCCGTGGGGCCAGCTGGAACCGGGGGCTTGGTCGACCATCCGTGTCCTTCGGGTTTTTTTGTTTCCGGAAGGAAGCAAAGCATACATCGGCCATAGAGGGTTTCTCACAACGCTTCGGAGCCACAACCCCTTCCCAAAGCAGCTTCCTGTTTAAAAAAAAAAAAAAAAACAGAAAGGGCCCCAGGACTTACACTTGTAGTGTCACAGCCCGACGCTCCCAAAGCCTCTGTCATTGAATGGAGACTTATTCGATGGCATGGCCTCTGCAAGCATCATCCATACTCCCGGGACAGCTTAATGTAAGGGCCTGAATGATGATCAACACTGTTCCCGCCTGATCATGACTTTGTTTGGTCTTTCACCCCACAACCCTGTTCTATCAGGCCCGATTTTTCTCTGGCATGGTTGGAGCTTGCTGTTCCGTCACCCAGTATCATGGATCCCTCCATTAAGATCCTTAGAACCGCTGGTTCATTCATCCCGGGTCGTTGCATGGTTTCGGCTCGTGCGTCTCGTTTGAGACAGCTCACCTGGGAGAATCTGTCCTTTCAGCTTCCACTCAAAACCCGCCAATTTCGTCTGAATCCCCTACTATTTTACCTTGTTTTACCATGGTTTTGGGGGTTTAGTGCGGGTGGTGTAAAGGGAAATCAACTGACAAACCACGTTGACAGACGGTGTGGAGCTCAAGCACCTGGTGGGCGTGAAGTCGGCAGGCTAGGCTGTTGCACTCATCCTCCCGGCTGGGCTCCTGGCCAGCTCTCAGCAAATGGCTCCAGGTCAAAACAGGGATAGGGCACCAAAATGGCAACGCTGAGCCTTTTGGCTTGCCCTTAAAACTAGCCCCCTTCTTGGAGAGTTCCCGCTTTTAGGCGTGCAGCCCGAAACCAACCCTAAACCAGCCCTAAACCAACCTTAAACCAACTCTCAATCAATCCTAAATCAACCCTAAACCAGCCCTAAACCAACCCTAAACCAAAACCTAAACCCCACCCCTCAGGGGGGGGGGGTGGTGGTGGACCCGCCCGGGCAGCTGGCGGGGTGGTGTAACCCCCCTCAAGCAGCCGTACGGGAGGTGAACCGCCACTGGCACAGCCGGGGGGGGGGGGGGTGCAAAGCAAGGCCCCAAAAGTTTCCGCGCCACATCCGCGGGCACTATCATCTATCTGGCTATCTGTCTATCTATCTCTCTATCTAGCAAGCTACCTATCTGTCTTTCCTATCTCTTGTATCTATTCCCTATCTTGCCAATTCTTGCTATTCATCTCTCTCGATCTCCCTGTCTATTTGTGCTACAAACCCTATCTATTTTTCTTTCTTATATCTATCTATCTATCTATCTAGTCATCTGGACAATTTTTGTATTCTATCTTTCTGATGTTTTTCTCTCTATCCATCTCTTTCCCTATCTATCGATTCATCCATCTATCGATCGATTGGATAGCACTTTTGCGCGCGACGCTGGGTCCGCATTCTGACGTCGAATTTTTCGCGCGGCCACGTGCGACGCCACGCATTACCGTAGCCGACTCGGGAAGCCACGCGCCCCACGCCACATGCCCTTGCGACGCCACATTCCCCAGCGACGCCGCATTCTTCCTCCGACGCCGCATTCCCCCCTACGCCGCATTACCCAATCATGTCACATTCCCGTGGCGCGACGCCACACTCGCCCCCCTACAACAAATGCACCGAGAAGTTCTCTCATCGAACGTGGCCAGCTCCCGCGCCTGGCCCCCTTGGCGCGTCACTCACGCTCTAGCCCGCTGCAGCGAAACCAGACGCAGCCAAACGCTACGTCTGGTGCCCCGCAGGGCGCTGCCCCTGCCGCCCCATCCTTCCTGCGGCCTCCTCCGCAAGCCTCCTTACAAATTGCTGCCTCCCAACGCACGCACACGCGCTGAGCGCAATGGGCGTCTACAACCCTTGGTTTTTGTAGACTGTCATTTCTCTACTCTGAGTTGCCCTGTCTCAGCACGACCCTTCCTGAAACACGTCTTGTAGCCACTCCCGCTACCGCCCGCAGGACACATCTATCTATCCATCAATCCATCTATCTGTCTATCTATCTCTACCTATCCATCTGTCTCTGTCTGTCTATCTATCTGTCCGTCCGTCTATTTATCTGTCTGTCTGTCCGTCCGTCTACGCTACCTATTCTATGTTTCTGTTCTGCCCTGCTCTAGTCTATTCTAAACCGCTCTACGCGCCAATCTATCTAGCTATCTAGCTATCTAGCTATCTAGCTGTCTAGCTACCTAGCCACCTAGCTGTCGAATTACGTATCTATCTGCCTGGCTATCTGGCTATCTATCTATCTATCTACCTAGCTCTCTGGCTATCAGCATTTTACCTATCTATCCATCGCTCGATCGATCATCTATCTGTCTGTATTTCTGTTCTTCTATCTACACATCTACGAATCTACGCAGCTATCCTTGTGTCTGTCTATCTATCTCACCGATCTAATCTATCTATGCTATCTACGCTGTTCAGTTCTATTCTGTTCTAGTCTGCTCCATGCCCATCTATTCTGTTCAATTCTGCGTCTATTCCGTCAGTTCTTTTCTATTGCGATCTATTCGGCTCTACTCATTTCTGTTCGATCTTTCTGTCTGGCTGTTTGGCGGTCTTCCTATCTACCTAGCTATCTAGCTAGCTTGCTAGCTAGCTACCAGTCTGGAAATCTATATACCTCTCTCTAGCTGGCTGGCTATCTGTCTTATCTATCCACTCTACTCTTTGCTTTCTGTCTTTGCGTCTAGATTTCTGCTTGCGTGTTTCAAATCTCAAACTTTCGGGACGGAGCTGCGCGAGCGTGGTTCGCGTACTACCTTGGCACTTAGATTTTCCAACTTTCGGGTCGAAGCTGCGAGAATGTTCTTTGCTCCTTCTTTCGTACTTAAAGCACCGGAGTTTGGAGCCGGAACTGGGGGGCTGTACTTCGCGTATTGGTTTCTTTTTTTAAAAAGCAACTTTCGCAAACGCTGCCCCTGCTGTGAAATCCGCACCTCATGTTGCGATTGCGTAGCCCCTGCCCCGCAATCCGCACCTTATGTCGCGATTTCGTAGCCCACGCCATGCAATCTGCACTTGCGAATCAGCGCGATGCAGCAGCACTATGGGCCCGGAGCCGAACGTGATCCCGAACGTGATCCTCGCATGCCCCGACCAGGCGCCGCAAACTGGCTAGCTTTGGGCTGTCCGGAGAAGGCGAAATACGCAGAGCGTTGCGTTTCTTGCGCGTTTTCATGCGCGCTTATTCCCCTCATGACCTCTGTCAAACACCTAGCCTTCAAGTAGTTGCCATACTATAGAAGTTCCTTTTCAACTTCCGTTGCTAAGTTAGCGCTCGAGCTCCGGCTCGAAGATCGCAACTCCTAAGCACAAAGGCCGTACGCGAAATGGAATCTCGCAGCTGCTTCTCAAACGCAACACGTAAGTCCAGAGGTAACACGCGAAGTGCAATTTCGTTGCTCCGGCTCGAAAGCCGCAACTTTCAACTATCAAAGTAGCGCGCCAGAGAAGAGAAAAGAAAGAGGAAAGACGAAGGAAGAAAGAAGAAAGAAAAACGCAGAAAGCGGAAAGAAGAAAGAAGGAAGGATGAGAAGAGAAGAGGAGAGGAAACGAGAGGAGAGGAGACAAGAAAAGAAAAGAGAAGAGAAGAGAAGAGAAGAAAAAGGAACGGAAGAGAAGGGGAGAGAAGGGACGGGAACGGAATGGAAGAGAAGAGAGGAAAAGAGAAGAGTAAGAGGAAAGAAGAGAAGACAAGAGAAAAGAAGAGAAGAGAAGGAGAAGAGGAGAGGAGAGGAGAGGAAAGAAGAGAAGAGAAAAGGAGAGGAGAAGAAAGGAGAGGAAAGGACACAAGAGAAGAGAAGAGAGGGGAAGAGAAGGGAAGAGAAGGGAAGACGAGGGAAGGGAACGGAAGGGAAGGGAACAGAAGGGCAGGAAGAGAAAAGAAGAGAAGAGGAAGAGCAAGGAAGAGACCAGAAGAGAAAAGAAGAGAAGAGAAGAGAAGAGAAGAGAACAGAAAAGAAGAGAAGACAAAGAGACGAGACGAGACGAGAAGAGAAGAGAAGAGAAAAGAAGAGGAGAAGAGAGAAGAGAAGAGGAGAGAAGAGAAGAGGAGAGGAGAGGGAAGAAGAGAAGAGAAGAGGAGAGAAGAGAAGAGAAAAGAAAGAAAAAAAGAGAAGACCAAAGACCAGACGAGACGAGACGACACGAGAAGAGAAGAGAAGAGAAAAGAAGAGGAGAAGAGAGAAGAACAAACATAAGCAAGCATGGAAAAGGAGAAGGCGTGATTCCTATAGCTACCTACCTTTATGCAAAAGAGATTCCGTCGTCCAGCTTTGCTTGAGCATGTGTGAGTCAAATAAGCGGGGCTTGTCTGCGTGCCGAGAAAGCTACCAATTTGTTAAAGCCAGTTTGTTTCTTCCGTGGGGGCTTTGCTCTCCGCTCACTTGGCGCGCTGCTGGGTCGAAGCTAAGATGGGGCATTGTGAGCAGGTGAGCCGTGAGCGTGGCTGGTCCGAAAACTGCTAGGAAACAAGAACCGCGCAGGAATGAAAAGTACTCGGGGAAAAGCATCACATTCCAGAAGTGCTCCTTGCTGCGCTAACCCCCCCCCCCCCCCCAAAAGGCTCCCCTTCGGCAGAAAGATGGCGCCTTTCTGCTGACAGAACACCAAGCCAGCTGTGTGAAGCTCAAGTGGTTGGACCCTTTAGTGGACATCCAGATTCGGTGGGGATTCACGTCCACCAATCATCCCTGTAAACAGTCATTGCCATGTCTCGTCGTTTACTCTCCCAAGAAACAGGAAAGTCTGACATCCAAGGAGGGGGGGGTGCCTGTGCACTTTCATGCTTGTTTGTGGGAGAGGTGGTTCGATTGAAGCCTGGCTCACCAGTGTAATTGAAATGGATAGTTGATAATCCCGCTGTCAAGAAGCGCGTGCAAACCGGATTCTAGATCCCCAGCGGATCTGGCCAAAGGCGGCTCCAAAGGAAGCCGAGTGCCTCTCTTGTTTGAGCACAACGTCTGGGCTCAAGGATTTCACCCGCACAAACAACCGAAGAAACACACTCAAGAAACCCAGGTAGTGCCCATTGGCCCAGATGTACAGGCGATCATGGTGGTTTGTGCCGTGTCCAGTTGCCCATGTCTAGAGCTGGGTCCTGCTGAGCCGACTCCGCCAGCTCCTCCAGCCAGCGGTCGAACCACGGCAAGACCTCGCCGCGAGAGGGAGACGGGCGGCACCGGAAAAAAAAAGCCGCCGAAGCCGCGGCTCGACAATGGCACCAAGGTCAGCGTGGAAGACATCAATGACACAACACCTCAACAGAAACGACAGGACAATCACCAGCGCAGCTGGCCAACCACAAGCACGACTGGTTTGAAGTGTGTCCCCATGTCCCTCGTTTTACCTCGGCGACGCGTTGCTGCCCAAGACATGAGAATGGACAAATCCCTCTTCAAGCAAGGGGCCGCTTTTGCCTTGGAACCGCAGGGTGTTCCATGGCGCGCCCTGGAAATCTATGACGAACCCGCCTCTCAAAGCCACCGCAAGATTTCCCCAAGCCCAAACCCACCCAAACCCATCCTTATACTCACCCCAACACCACAAACCACACGCCCCAACACCACAAACCACAAGCCCTCCCCCCACCCCCCAACCCCCCCCCAATCCCCCCCAATCCCCCCAACCCAAACCCAACCCAAACCCCCCCACGTCCCTCGTTTTCCGCCCCCACTCCGCCCTTTCGCCTCCCCCTCGAAGGTGGAGCGCAGCAGCGCCCGGCCCCGGCGCAGCTCCTCGAGCACCGCCGAGGTCACCTGCAAAGAAGCCAACAACTCTCACAGCCCAACGGCCCAACGGTTTCCGCGGGGTCCGGGTCCAACAAAGTCGTCGGATGCTTAAAAACATGACATGAGATTCGTGTGTTTTTCTTGTTCTTACCACAAACGACATACAAATATTAAAAAATGATAGCTAAAGAAAATGCAAAGCCATATGTTGGAATGGATTGTCCAAATGATATAATGAATGCTGTCTTAATACATGAATGAGATTCTTGTGACATATTAGATTTCCTTTACTACACTTATACCAAAAAAAAGGTTGTGATTTATCAAAAGATATGTCTTTATTCTATGCATATTAAAATAATACCACATGGACATACAAATATAAACAAAACAGGGCCCCCGGTACGACACGGGTGGCTTCCCCTTCCTCCATTTGGTTAAGGCCCCAGGGAAAAATACAAAATATGTCCAGTAGCGATGAATTCCCTGTAAGGCCAACAAGGGATTTATATATATATATATTGTTTTATTAAAAAAAACAACAAAAAACAAAAACAAAAACATGGAGGCAAGGGGTTTCAAGGGGGTCCAATGCATAGAACGAAACCCGGTCTAAGTCTCCCTTTAAAAACCCAACTGAAGGGTGGGTAAACCCGCAAGGGCTCCGAGCAAACAATGGTTCCCCTGTACATGCCAACAAACAATGGTTTTGTTTTGGTTTTTAACCATAGCTTCCTAGGTGAGTCCTCTTACACCCTTAAAGGCTACGAGTACAACAGGGACTGCTGTCTGTGATTGGGGACGGCAGACTTGGGCCCAAGCGGTCTGACGAATGTCTAATGCTTCCTCTTAAGATCTCCCTTCAGCCCACCGAAATCGGGGGGTTGCTCCCAAAAAAGATGGACGAAATCCTGCACCACCTGGAACACCTGCAATGATATGCTTCCCCTGCGAATGCCAACAACCAGTGGTTTTTGCCACGTTCTTTTGTTTTGCAGGATTTTGTCCATCAGGTGAAGAAAATCCCTAGGGTTCCTTGCCAGGGTATCGTAACCCTAGGAAGCGTAGTGGTAACTTGTAACCATGGTAGTGGTAACCCTAGGGTTCCTTGCCCCCATTGAAAGAATGGCCCAAAACATAAAACAATTTGGATGATGACAATCCTTAGGCAAGCAATGGTGGTTATATGGGCCTCTATCGATTTAATGGTGGTTTGAACCCTAGGGAAATGCAACACCCGGCGGCACAGAAAAGGGATGGTTCCACTGGAGCTTGAGAATACGTGGTCGGAGAAATGGATGGAAGTTTCAAGGTTCTCACAATGAGACCTAGCACCAACAACTGCATAAAAGCTGTGATACTCGGAAACCATTCTCCCAAGATGGGGCCAATGCACCAATTCCAATCTGAAACTCAACAAATGCTTGATAAGACAAACCCTTCAGAGGGCGGCGGTGCCCTTAGCCTAAAGTTGCAAGCCTCGTTCCTTCTTTTGTTGTTGTTTTTGCTGGAGAGGGGTTGTCGAAGGATTGGTTTGGTCCATGGCAAACCCTTGATCCTCCCTCTTTCTTTCTCAAGAAAAGGGCCACCCCCACACCCCACAAGCAAGCCCCCCGTGCACGGTGAACACCAGGCAAAATTGCAAGCATCTCCTTCCGGGACGCTGGTGCAGACCAAAAGAGAGGAACCCCCGACAAAGACCTAATAAGGTTGAGTGTGATTGGTTGAAAGGGCAACGTGGGCAACATTGCTCGCGTTGTTTAGCGAGTGGTGGCGATGTGCAAGTAGCATCCATGTGTAGGCCTTCGGGGGGGGGGATGACTCCGGGGATGACGGCGAGGTAAAAGCGAAAGGGCCGAGATGCGCTTCACACATTTCCTTCTGGGGTCCGGGTGCCTTATGGTTCTTTCAGTTGCACCGCCACCCCACCCCACACCCACCCCACCCCCCCACCCCAACCCACCCCCCAGCCCCAGCCCCCCAGCCCCCCCGTCCGCCTGCAGCCGTGGCCAGGCCCTCGCCATCTTCCCCTCCGCGTGCTCCGCCAGCAGCGCCGCCGCGGACTCCACCCGCACCGCCAGGCGCACGGAGAACAGGATCGCCGGCACCGTCTCCTCGAGACTCGACGCGCAACGAGGCGTCGAGCAAAACCCCCGCAACCCCCCCCCCCCTCCCCGCAACCCCCGCAACACCCCCCCCCCAAAAAAAACAAAGGAAACAAAAAAAAAGAAAACAAAAAAGAGGGGTCAACCCTTCTAGATCCCCAGAACCCCCGATCAACCCAGACCCCCAAACCCCCCAAAAACGGGTTCAACCCTTCTAGACCCCCAGACCCCCCTTGCACCCCCCCTCCACCTAGAGCCAAGACCAACAAAACAGGATTCAACCCCCGTAGACCCTCCGTGGCACCTGGAGTTATTTGGATTCAACCCCAAACCTGCAGTTTGGTTGCACCTGGATACCCCCTTGTGCAGCCCCTAAAGATGTCTTATGAGGATCTTCTTGGATAGGCTTCATGGATGAAGAAATCATGAACGATCCTGACCCCCACCGCCCCACCCACCCCACCCCCCACAACCAGCCCGTCCGCCTAAAAGTGCCCTTAACCCCCCTGGATTTATGAGGATCATGTTGGTTTAAGATCTTATGGGGATGCAAAACCTGCTGTGGAAGGGCCGAATGCAGGCCAGGTATGAGTTGTTGATTATCAACCAGCATTTATACCAGCGGGTTTCCAAGTTGAGATGGAGTTGCTTCCCTTCAAATACCAACTCAAAGAGCGCTTTCTGGGTGTGTCATTGTTGACGGTACCTACGAGGGTGTTGATTGAAAGGGAAACAGCGCCCATTTTGGGGCGAGGACAAATCCGCTTCGTCTGAGCCGTCCAACCATCCAGCCATTCCAATTGCAGGATTTTGCCCATGGATTCTGAGTGGGATTCAAAGTCGCCCAGCCCTATGAGGATTATGTAATTCTTAATTTGATTCTGCAAGGATCGAACGGCTTCCCCGACCGGGCACACCAGGGATTGGAGGGAAAACCCCCATGTGCCCGAAACGAAACCCACTTCGGTCCAACCCCTCCTGATGAATTAATGGATGTCCGTCTTCTTTTGAAACCCCTTTCCCCTTCCCCCCCCCCCCGGCGATTTGGGTGGTTTTAAAGGGAAACCAAAAACGACACCGTTGCGCCATTTCGGGAGCGTCCGATTCCGAAAACAAAAGACGAGCCGCCCAAATGAAAACCCCGGGCGACTTTTCTCTATGCCCGTGGCTCTCAGCCCAATCGCCCCGTCCGGAGCCTTCTTAGGGCTTCTGGTCCTAACGGCTTCGGATTGAACCCAACCGCCACACCAAGCCGAACCGGTTTCACTAACGATGGACCAGGAAAAACAAACATCGCGTGTTTGGTAGGCGCAGGATTGATTTTCCACCTAAAAAGGTTTCACTAAAGATGGACCAGACAAAAACACATCTCATGTTGCAAAAGAATCGGCGAGCTTAGAACAGGAAGACCTAATTTCAACTGGGCGATGCATGTCAACACATCTCATTCTGGGCAAAGGCTGAGGCAAGCGAGGTGCGAGTGGAAACACCCCGTGCCACAAAAAACGAGATGCTTTTTCTCGTCTGGTCCATCTTCAGCGAAACCTTTCTAGGCGGAAAAAATCAATCCCGTGCCCGCCAAAAAATGAGATGTGATTTTTTTTCCGCCCCCCCCCCTTTTTTTAGAGGTGAACCTTTTTCGGTGGTTGAAATCCGCTAAAAAACCCCTCGACGCCCTCGGCGCCCGCAGCCCGAGGAAACCGAAGGCATCGACGCATCGACGCATCGACGCATCGAAGGCTCCGAGGTCACCGAGGTGGCCAGGGACAAGGTCAGGGCCATGAGCTTCCCCACGGCCGTCAGGATCCTGGCGGACAGACCCCCCAAAAAACACCTCGGCCCGGACCTCCTATGGGTGCCTGTGAAATTTGGGGGCTTCCCCACGGCCGTGAGGATCCTGGTGTCGGGATCCGGGTTTCAGCTTCCCTTGTTTAGGTGGATTGGATTGGTGTCTGCTTTTTTTCTGGTGGTTTGGTCGGTTAAGGAGGGGCTAACCCATTTAGACTCTAAGCCAGGGGTTCAAATCCCCAAACCACCAACCCAAACCACCAACTAAGGGTTACCTGACTATTGGCTATGGTTGCCTTTCTTCGGGATTCCCCAACACCAGTTCATTCCAAAACATGCGAAGGCAATTCCCTACCTATCGCGCCAGCAAGCTGGGTCCCGTGTTTTGATGTCCATGGAAAAGAAAAAATAGAAATCCTTTTAACTAGGTCCCAGTGGATTTGAAACACCTTTGTCAGGATCCTATGTGAAACCCACAGATCGGGTCCATTTCCATAGGGAACAAAAATGTCACCCCGGGGGGGGGGGGGGGAGTACTCCCCCTTCAAATGAAATTAAAATGGACACCACCGGGTGGCTGGGCCGCTGAAGGTTCTTGTCTCATTTGGCCAAAGTCATTCCTCCCCGATTGGTAGGGAGAAGGGAAACAACCCCGACTGACTTCTGGAAACAGTCAAACTAATGACCCCAGCAGGTTGCAGGTGATCACCAGACCGGGAACTAACCCCAGTTAACCCATGTTGCAACCAAGGATATGGCCTGGTTCCTGAATGGGCTAAACATCAGAGTCTGTCCAGAGACTGCCATCCAGTCGACCAGTCTGAAACAAAACAACCCGACCCCACATCTTGGGTGTGCCTTTTTTAGGGAACGCTGCAAAATGATGGCTTGACTTTGGGTTTCAAGGCAAAAACCAACGACACACCCAAATTGCCCTGAGCAAATCCGACCAGAAAACACCCAGTCAAACTCCCGAAAACCCCGCGGGCTACGGGCACCCGGTCCCAACGCGCGCGACGGCGCGCTGTTTGTCTCGGACGAGGCGCTGTGAGGGGCCATGGGACAACTCCGTGAGGATCTGGCTGAAGGGCGACGCCACCAGGTGCTCCTGGACGAAGCGAGCGATAAGGCGGCAAGCGGAGGGGCAAGCGTAGGCGCCCAGAGCCAAAAGGCGAGCCTTCGACGCCGCCTCTTGAAAGCCTCTTGAGGGGTGGGAAAAGAGGAATGGTGGTGGCTAGGGTTGGTTCGAGGTGGGCTTTGGTTTGGTTTGGCTCCGGTGTTTTCTTTTTGGAATCACATATGTTGTAATCACGCCTGGGGGGTCCGGGTGTTTTTTGGTGGAAATCATGGCTTGACTTCAAGAAAAGACACCAGGGGCCAGAGGCGTGAAATCAACGTGAATTCAAAAGCAAAACCACCCGGGCCCATAGGCGTGAATGCGACAAAACAAGCACCGGGACCCCAAGGCGTAACTTGAAGCAAAGAACACCGGGACCCCCAGGCGTTGAAAAAAATTACCATAAACACCGGGACCCCCCCCCCTGATTTCAATAAAAGGAACACCGGGAAGGTCAAAAAACACAACACCTGGACTCCCCGGGCCAGAAAAACGGGACCCCCCACGCGTGAGTTCTAAAATATGCGAGTCCAAAAATTCAAGCACTGGAGCCAGGCGTGAAATCAAAATAAAAACGGGACCGAGGTGTCTTTTTCTTCACTCACTTGCTTGCTCGCTTCGAGTGTGAAAAAATACCAAAATGAGAATCCAAAATAAACACGGCTGGGTAAATTCAAAAAAAAACGGTTCGGTCTGGTTTAGGTTGTTTAATATGTGTCCAAGTTGGTGAAACAACAAATACGTTGGCCTTCTGAGACCAGGCATCAGCTCGTGGGCTAAAGAGGAGAGTAACTAGTACTCATGCAACAAGTCTTTTTTTGGGTTCGAATACAAACAGAAGTTTCAAAAACCATGCTATCTGCACCGTTGAGTGGATCTTGCATCCACTCGACGTCTGGTTCTGCCACGGTTCTTACCAAAGCAGGTCATCACCATGACCCCGACAACACCGAAGCCGAAAGCGCCGCCGAACTTGCCAAGCAGGGTTTGCCCCTAAGGCCGAGGTCTCAACCAAGCCCACCTCACTCATGTTGACCCCGGATTGATAGACCCCTGTTTATTCATATGGGCGTGTCCCTGGTTTGGGGATTTATCCCTTTTGGAGGGAACACCCCCCATATTAATAACAGGGGTTGATTAATCCGGGGTCAACATTATTGGTCTTCCCAGAGCGTTCCTCCTCTGCCACGGCGGGCACAAACTCCGGGATCTTGTGCATGTCCTGCACCAAAGGCTTTGGGCGGCTTTGTGCTGCGGGCTTCTTTTTTCTTTGGAAAACGGGCGAAGCCGCTTGACCTTTCCTGCCAATCTGCATGGCTTGCGAAACTATGGTGTAACATAATGCTTGCTGTCCCAAACTGCATGAGGTCATCCCTAGCTTTTGCGAAGCTGAGCTATGCTGTTGACTATGGTCTCCGATCCCAAAACTATGTAGTAGGTAGACCAAATATGAAACAGAATCAGAAAAACAAAAATGCATGTTCTGTGTACCCCCGCCCCCCCTTTTTCTGGGTCAAAATAAGCATCTGCCGTGTCACCGGTACAAGATTTTGCCATGAGCTGTCCTGCGGGTACAGCAGCTTGCCTGGCTCCAGCATTGTGGCCTCGCAGAGAGAGGGGGAAGGGACAAAGTGGTTGGCCTTCTGACCGTTTCCCTCGCTGGCCCAGGAAAGGATCTCCGCAAAAGCGGCTACATGGACTTGTCTAAGGTGGCGACCCCTCCCAAATGGCCGCTTTGCTTTCCCCCTGAAAGGCAGCAGAAACACCTGGACTCTCCCCCGAAAGCGCGCCTACATCTACCAGCTTGGGTGAACATGACCCCCCTTCAGGAGGCGCCAATAGGAGCTGAGGATTTCAAATCCTGAAAGGCCCTCCCATTCGCGCCAAAGCAACGAGTCCAACAAGAAAATGCCTCTTTTCGGCGAGGATCTCTTTTTTAGCTTCCGTTGGACACAGCTGATTTGTGGATAAAAACAACTCCATGGATATATGTGTGTGTGTCAAAAACAACTCCATGGATATGTGTGTCAACCTGTAAGCCCTAAACCCTACCCTCATAAATGCTTCTCTTGGCTTTTTTTCGAAACTGTGAACTTCTCCGCTCTGTCCGAGAATAGCATCCAAAACGGGGTGTTGCTTCTTGCCAGGGCCAAGACCGTTGGTTACTTGTTGTTGCATGAGGTCGCAGCGCTCTGCACCGTCATGCATGACCAAAATGCGAGTAATCCTGTCACTGTGAACGGAGAACTCTGTCTGCAATGGCCAAGTTTTCACGGTCCCCCCAGTGGATAAGCAAAAGGTCGCCCGTCACGTGTGTCCCCAAATTCTCCGCTAGCAAGCTTTGAACCTTCGCGTTACGGCATGCTGTATTTTCTCGCCATGACCAGGTTGAGCACGCTGTCAAGTGCTTCCACCACCTCGAGGTGGCTCTTGCCATTTGTGCTCGATGCTTCTGCCGAACTAGTGCAAGGGCATCTCAAATGAGTAGCACCCAACCACGTTGACTTGTTTATTCTACAAGGTCTAAATCTGCAAGCCAGGTGGAACCGCCTCTCAAATGGCCAGGGGGTTTCGGGCGCTACCTTCCCTTGACTCTCCAAATCCTTTGGGAAAGTCAGAGCCCGGGTCCCAGACTCTCGACGACATCCGTGGCCAAAGAGAAAACGAGAAGCCACCTACCAACTGGTGCCCGGCGCCTTTTTCCTCCATCCACCGGACTCTCGCGCCACGATTCGCCGCGCGCGCGGCGTGCGGCTTGCGGCCCTCGCCTGCAGGATCTTCTGCAGGGTGCCCTGGCGCAGGCAGTTGCTGCGGTCCTGGGTGGTGAAGAAGCTCAGCAGCAGCGGCTGCCGGAGGTACGGTACCTGAAGCTGACCATCCGCTCGCTCGGACCGGGCCGAAGTTTGCGATCGCCTAGATAGCATCAAGTTGCGAATGCTTGTCTCCAATTCACCTTACCCTCAATTGGCGTGGATTGGTGGTTTGGGGAATTTCGCTTTTTCTGGTCCCTGTTGCGATCGGTTTTTGGGGTAAAGTGCATGGACAAAAAGCAGCAACTGGCGATCCAGGTGGTGCTCAGCAGGAAATGAGGGAATGACCCCTATAAACCGTCGCTTCCTGTACGGGAATCTCTAGGTTCATTCGGAAAGCTTGCCGGCGCGAGAGCAGGGAATGAGAAATAGCTCAAAAAAAAAAGATGGAGATTTGTGTCTTCTTGGTTCATTAGGCTCATGACTCCGAGGAAAACCAGCCAACCGATTTGGCTTCCTTTAATCGGGAATCCTTCCAACACCCGGAGTTGGTCATTCCCTACTGAGCACCAGCAAGAAAGGAGGGTAACGACAGCAGGCGATGAACATGAGGTCGACCTGAAACTCTCCAAATGGTTGATATACTTTTGGTTTGCTAGATGGCACCAGCTGGGCGCCCTGGTGTTGACACCAGATGCGCATGGTGGCTGCTGGGATTTTGATGTCAAAGTGCATGGCCACCACAAGTGATACTTTGCCTGTCTAACCTCTCATAACACTTGGACAAGCTGATTCTCCAACGATGCGACCAAGACGGCGATCAAAAAGGTCCCCCAGTTTTGAGCTACGAGGATGTCAATGACCAGCTGGACCCTTGCAACCGGCAACGGCTTCTTTCGGGATTGCTAAAGAAAGCCGCCGAAAGAGCCGCCAAAAGGCGGTCCGTAGCTGAGTACACTGGCCTCTAATAAACCCCAACAGGACATTCATACCTTGGCCAAAACTCTTACCGAGGCAATTGCCAGTACTTACTGGTATACCAAGCTATGTAGAAGTACAGTTCGAACAGTATTGGATTTCTGCATGGTCACAACCCCTGGCATTGCTAGCTATCGTTCAGGCGTGAACCACATCACAGGAATACATCCAACAAACTACAGTTCCAACAGCATTGCTCGTCCTTTCCTCCAAGCCGGGAAACTCCTCACTTGACCAAACCCTGGTATTGCTGGCTAGGTGTCTTCCCTCCTTTATCCGGGATCCTTACATGATACACCTGAACATTGCCTTGTAAATGGTGGTGTCCCTTTATTTTGGTGGAAAAATACATGTTTCAAATGGGCAAAGTGGAGATCTTTTAAGGAGCCCTGTTTGTGTCCCCGAATTTCTCGGCACCACACGTGTCCGCCTTCGTTTTTGCGTCAAGGCGCCGTGAGGTACGAGAGCAGCGCCTCGCTGTCCGAGGGGCGCAGCATGGGCCGCCCCGTCTTCTCGTCGGCAAAGTTGGGCAAGGACCTGCAAACAATCCGCTGATCCATTTGATTCTCTTGTTCTTGCTCAGGATGGCATGCTTGCCCCTCGGCCCCCTTTGGCTCTGAGGATCCTGTTGATTCTCTTGCTCACGATGGAAGAACCTTAGCCCCACAGCCCCCATCTTTTTGCCCATGGAACCCTGGAAGCCTGGAACCCCCCACATGGGTGAGGTCAAAGATGGGGAAACCCCAAATCCCAAATGGAAAAAGAAGGACCTGCGGTGCCCTCTACGCTTCTGGAATGAACAAAAACAACAACAGGAAACCGCCCGATTTTTGCGGGCCCGTTTTGAGACTGACCCATTCGGATGTGGCTGTCCAAAATGGTGTAACCCCAAAATGGGTTGTCCCGGTAAATGGAAAGGACTAAAGCCTGCGTTTTTTTCTGGTGGTTTAACTTCGACCCATACCCACATGCACCCGAACTCATGCAAGACATGACTCCCTTCACCCAGAAAGGCCTCTTGATTTTGAACAAGTTCACGAGCTCCTACCAAGCCTCCTTGCTAAGGGGGCCAAGTGCCTTTGAGCAGAGAGACTGGGCTTTGCCAGGATCCGAAGTCAACATGGATTCAGTGCCAGGCTCAAACCATTGACTGGGGGCTGGTATGGTCATGCTGTGGATGGACGAAATCCTGCCTGAATGATGATTCCCCCGTAAACACCAACTACAATGGTTTCCCATGGCTTCAAAGTGGTGCGAACGGAGCTCGTTCACAGTGGGCGTGCTCAAAATCTAAACCATCATAATGCCGGGGTGAAAGGAGCAATGTCTCAAAGGAGAAGGCTCCACAGCTTCCTTTTGAATTTTTGGCCCCCTCGACCTAGGGTCCTAAGAGACAGACGCTCCGTGCTCGCAGACAAATGGCTACCTGACTCATCCCCAAAAAAATACGCCTCGAAGCTTCAAATCCTTTCTTTTTCTGGAAAAAAGCGCGGGGGGTTCTGTTTACCGCTATTCTGACCTGATCTTCCCGAAAAGTGAAGTGGGGAAGTGAGTGAGGCCCAAAAGCTTAGAGTCCGGGGGCTGAATTGAGCGAGCGCTTGGCTGAACCCCCCAGCTTCAGCGCGCTGGCTGCCAGACATCCACCCGAAGCTTCGAAGATGCAGTCAGTCCTTTTGAAGAAAACAACGGCAAACACGTGCCGGGCGTCTGCCTCCGCTTGCATTAGCTTGGTTGAGCTCAAACCAAGGGCATGTGTCCTGTCAACCCAACCACACCCAACGCCCATAGAAAAGCAAGCAACATGTTTCGCCCCCCCCCCCCTCTTGCAGCATGTTTTTCAGCTAGGCTTGAGAAGCCTTGGCACCTGGAAAACGTTTTCCAAGCGCAAAGAAAGCCACCCAGCCACCCAAAACATGCGACCAGATCTGCCTTTGGTAGAGCAGATCATCCTCCGTGCCTCGGTGTCCCAAAGCCGGACAAAGCCCCGCTGGTCAGTGTGCGGGGAAACACACACCCACATGTAAAAACATAGAGACAACTCTGGAGTGTCCTTGCTTCAGGTTCCCTGCCCACCCCTCATATGCAAAGAGACAACTCCGGCCCAGAGTGCCTGTTTTGAGGCTCCCCTTCCCCCACCTGCCCTTTATCCCATCCCTTTCCCCTCCGCTTCCAGCGGTCGCTTCCGAAAAACTTCTCGCCGGGCCACGGACCTCGCCCTTGGTGTGCATGGCCGGCAGCGCCGGGGAGGGCCAGCGGTGCCCGGAGGCCGGGGGCTGCGGGGGCGTGCGCTCGTTGAGCCACACCACGTTGTCCTACGCGTCGTAAAACGAAGGACGTGGACACCGGGCGGCTGAACCCCCCTGGGAAGAACCCACAAAACCTATTGGATGTTTTACCAAAAGCAAGGGTGTTCTATGTGTGTTAAAAACAAGGAAAGCCAATAAAACCCAATGGTGCTTTAGTTTTGCTTAAAAACAGGTGAAGTCAAAGGTGTTACACTGGAGGTAACTCCAAAACGAGCTAAGAGCTCCCTTCCCATAAAAGTGTTGAACTGGGGGGGGGGGAACCAAGTCTTTGTTGCACAGTTTAGTATTGTTCAGTTCCGCCTTGAAGTGATGGTGGTATATGACAGTTGGTGCGAAAGTGGGGTAACTAAGTCTTGTACTGGGTAGCGGGTAACTGGGGCTAGTTCCCTTGTAACCATGGGTAGAAAGTGTTTTCGTACCAACCCCAAGGTTAACTTGAGAGTAATTCTTGTTCCGCAAGAGTAGTCGGGAGTTAACTTTACATGACCCAGCGCCAAGCGCGTTTCCTGAAGCGATTGGCCAAAAGAGTCCGAACTGCTTGCTCGCCACTCAAATCGCTCTCGCGGCTCTCGGGGAGTGAGTAAAGGGTACAAGGGAAACTCCAGGTAGGGTTATGTTTTGACTTCTGATTCTGAATTATGGGTACATAACCACATCCATTCAACCCCCCCCTTCACCGTACAGTGCCCTTGTGACAAAGGGACCGAGTGTTGTCCAAAGTAGGGAAGCCCAAAATACTTGGTATCTTTTCAACTTCCCTTTCAAACATCTGACAAGATGATAAATGATAAAATTCCCAAACTCGTGGAAAATTCTAAGGACATCCGGCCAAGGAGCAAACGGAAACCCCTATATCAATGAGCAACAAGGATCGGGTCCCGGCTTCCGAAGCTCTCTCAGAAATTTGCAGCTGCCCCCCCCAAAAAAAAAAGAAAGAGCTTTGTCGCGTGCCCTCTGGTCCACACCTGCCCTGGAGCATACCACATAACATGCTTGTTGATCAATAGAGGAAAGGGCTTCGCGACAGGCTCTTGTAAATTAAAGTGCCGCAGTTGACTGGACAGTGAGTTGGTATTAAAATGTCCACATGCAATCTATTGCGGTGCAACCGGTGAGGCAGGATACAGGGCAGAAAGTGTTACAACAATACCAAGCGGTTCCCGATCGAGAGCATTTGCTCTCCATGACTGGGCCCCTCGGCTGTTTCACACCAAGAACAGGGATCCTTACATGATACACCTGAACATTGCCTTGTAAATGGTGGTGTCCCTTTATTTGGTGTTGAAAAAGCCACATGTTTCAAATGGGCAACATGTATCTTTTAAGGAGCCCTGCCTATCCATGGCTTATCCTCGGCTTGAGATAGCCCCCCCCCCCCGCTTTGCCCCCCCTTTGGCTTTGAAAACACCCAGGGCGCCCCATTTTTGGGGTACACAACTTGCTCCATGACCTGCGGGTCGGTGGGTCCTTGCCCAGGCCTAAAACCTTGAAGTACTGCCGGCCCTTGTCGTCGGTCTGCACGGACCACCTGGCGATGGCCTCCGAGGGGTGGAACTGCCGGGGCTCCGGGAAGACCCGCACGTCCGTGCAGAGGAAGAACTTCCACCAGAAGACCTGAGGCGGTAAAGAAAGCAGGGTGTGTTGTTTTGTTTTTTTGCTGTTGTTTTTGTTTGTTTTTGTTTTTCTTGGGGGGGGGGCAAAAGGAGCCGTTTATATATTTTCTTGAGGGGGGGATGGGGTGGGGGGGCGTTTTGGGCTCGAGGTGATTTGAGTTGGAAATGCTAAGGTCTGGCGCTGCCTGTTGCGTAAAACGGAGTACATCCCCACAACTCACCTGATTCGAAATAAATCCTAGCCCGAACCGGCCAGAAGTGCTTGCTTTCCGCATCTCATCCTACATTGTCTACTGGAAGTGATGCTCAACAAATGCAGTCCTAACTCGGCAAACATTTCGGTATTTCCCCAAACCTTCCGACCTCGCCTTTTGAAGCCGGTGTGCTTTCCAAGCGGCTAAATCGCTAACCAAACAAACCCACCTAAAGCTGGCCCGAAGCCTGTCTGAAGCTCATCGCAAGCAAACATCAGCGAGCACCTGGACGACTGGATCTGAGACATCCAAAGTTCAGTGGAGCACCTTGGATGTGTCCTACCTGTCATCGAGATCCTCCGAAACGAGGATTCCAACCGGATGTGCTGCATCGAAGCTCCTAGGTCCTAAGTCCTTTAGCTCCCATGTCACATGTCCGGAGAGCACCTCGGTCACAGGGTGCCCCACCTTCAACATGGGAAGCTCGTTGGCAACCATCCCCCCACCCGGTTTAGAGCCGTGCGGCAATGTCTCGATAGGCTTGGAACTCCGGCCAAATGTGCGGCATCATGACGTTTGTGCCTGGTTGCAGCAAGGGGCAGCAAATGGCGCATGGGCACTGGGCCCATTATGAGCCTCTGAGTAAGTTCCGGTCTTCGGCAATGAACTCATGGAACCGTTGCAGGTAGACAGGCAACTCCTGCTCCCAGCTCGATATCTTGGGGTCAAGCAGAGAGAAAGCTGAATCCAACATTGTCTCCCTCTCGGTCGCGCCGTTTCTTTACTTGCGCTTTATCTTTCATTTCAATCCGTCTGAGGAAAAAGGTTCTTATTGGAAAAGGTTGCAGAATCTCGCAATGCCACCCCTTGCATGAATCCATATGAGCCAGATTCTCTGTAGAATGTAGAATGATCAACTTCCCCCTTTAACACAGGGGGCTGAATGTGTATTGAAACTAGCCTCTTGTTATATCATATTGGTTGCACCACCTCCCTTTCCTTGTTCTTCGACCATGCTCACAGTCTGCCGTGCGATCTGCATAAGGAATCTACAAACTCACAGGATGAAGGAGCCTTCAGTTTCCCCCAGGGCAAAGGATGATCTCTGCATCGAAATCTCTGACAGTGTCTGCCCGCAGCCGAGTTGCGGTTTGCAGCACTGTGACCTCTCCCTTTTCGAGAGAGAGAGAGAGACAAAGACAAAAAGACCCGCAAGGTGAAATTGCCCATGGACGAAAAGGAGATCCCCGGAAAACGATGACATCCGCAGGTCGCTCTGGTCAATCCGCGTACAGGAACATATTTGGGTGATCCATAGCCCCCCATCTCTCTGGGGCTCAAGGCTTCGGTGTCTCTTTGGGTAGTTCGGCTAAATGCAAGCGCCAGCCCTTCCCAACTCCAAGTCACTTCCGCTTGGCTTCTGAGACGCCAACTTCTCTACGTTTGAGCGATGACATGCGTCAGTTCCTATTGTCCCAAAGCACTTGGCGCACTTCCAAAGACGCCTTTTCATCCTAGACTTGCCTTCCCCTTCATTCTTCCAGGGGGCTCAAAAGATTTCAAAAACCACAACTGACGAAACCTTTCCCTCTTTTTGTTCGCTCACCTGAGTTGTCATCAAAACCTGGTAGAGGAGTCGACCCAAACCCAGAACCAAAAGTCGCTGTCCCTTCAACTCTATGTCCATTTTACCCTGTTTGCACTCCTCAGCATCGGCTTATATCGGCTTAGTAGATAACTAACCCATACCCCAGTGAAAACCGATTCATGGGTCCCGAAACAAAGTGACAAGCCCTCCGGGACTAAAGTAACCTTGAGAAGCGTTCGCTGTTGGAGCCATTTGGGTATGTTTCAAAACAAGGGGGCACCTCATGGTTTGGTGGTGTTCCTCTTGGTTTCCCTTTGAGCCAACACCCAAAAAAAAGACTTCGCCACAAAAACAACACCGGCGCGGCACGCCTGGCAACCTGTTCTGGTGGGGTTTCCTCTTGGTGTCCCCTTTAAGAAAACCTCAAAAAAAAGGCGAGACACCCATCCACCCCTCTCCACCCCTCTCCACCCCTCCTGGCCCCCCAGGCACCGCGGGATTCGGGGACTTCGGAGGTCTGGGCCCCCGGCCCGCCACGAGGTTCTGGGGGTTCCCATCCGCCAGCAGCTTCGTGGCCGCCATGCGCTCCACCATGGCCATGGTGCCCCGCTCGCCTCGAAAACTTTGGGGGGGGGGGGTGGTTGGGGGGACGGGGGGGACCGGGGGGGGAAGGGCTTGGAAAGCGCGCGCGGGCGCGAGCAGGCGGTTGGGGGTTTTGGTGGAACACATAAAAATCACCCAAACCTGCCAAAAATAGCACCCCCGAATTTGAGATATGAGTTGTTCTTTCAGAAAACGGGCTTGTCGGCAATGGGAGGTCTCTTTATTTCTCTTTGGAAGGGGTAAAAAGACGAATCCTGCTGGGAGAAACCCGGACCTGCCACCGGTTTACCAAAAATAACAGAAACAACTGTCCGTGACATTTCAACGAGGTTGGTTTGGTACAAGCCCTGAACACGAAAGCTATCCCTTTTGGGACTCTGACTAAACAGGGACTCCACTGAGTCACAATCAACCTTGTACAAAAATGGTGAACCCAAAACCACGGAGTTACCAAGGCAGCCGCACCTTTACCAAAATGGAGAAAAGTTGGCGAAAAACGTTGTACAGCTGAGGACACTTGCAAAGCTGTGGCGACGGACGGCCCGACGGCCCCGGGCCTGTCACCCACATGCCCCACTTGTGCATGGAGTAGTCGAAGATGACCGTGCGCCGCCGGTCCAGGTTCACCTTTGGGCTGAGGGTAGACGATTCTCAAATAGAACGAAGAGTTGTCGAGGACGCGACCCCATGCCGAACCGCCCCAGCCTTGATAGGGCCTTCCTTGTTGGGTTCTTATTTGCAGAGAAGAGGAAGGGCCTGCTCATGCAACGAAACTATTTCATGTTTGAGAACTCCACATGTCGCTGGGGTTCTGTATGTCAGCTTCCAGCGAAGTTGTCTGGCCAATGTCAAATCTTGCGCAGGGTTGTTCTTGCTCGAATCATCTTACCATCTTACCACCTATTCTACAGGCCGATTGGTTTATCCTCCTTCCGACCCTCTGGCTTGCACCAAATGCGATGCAACGCAATGAAAAGGCCAAAGCGCCGCCATTCAGATTCCCACCCTCGATCAGCCCCCCCGTTGACAACCCCCCCAAGCCCCCGAGCATGCAAACCCCATCTCCAAACCCCCTCAGTTTCCAAGCCGCACTCCAAACCGCCCACCCCGGAAAAAAAACACCTCCGACCTCGGACCCGCCTTGTAATGCTGGATCACCTCGTGGAAGTAACTCACCGTGGCCGCCCGCGTGATCGCCAGCTCCTGGAAGCATGCTTCCATCCTCGGGCGTGAGTCGGAGAGGCGCGAGGCTTCCAGAAAGACTGGCTGGTGCCATAGCTAGGGAATGACGATGAGTCCAGGTGTTGGGAATGAACCGGTTTGGGGGCTTCCCGGATAAAGCAAACCACCAGTTGGATTGTTTATGGGGGTCATTCCAACTCATTCCCTGCTGAGAACCAGCAAATGGATGGTGGAAACGCATAACAGGGATCTTGCTCAAAGCCAAATGGTAACACACACCTCAGGGTCTTTTTGAGCGCCAGGGTATATTTGCCGGAGGTTCTTTCGAAATTAATTGGTGAGTGTCCGCCCCATGCCGCCACTCAAAGCAGAAGCTCGCGGTTGTTCACTGGCCATTGGGCTTGGCTATCGTGGCTCTGAGCGGTCTTTCATCTCCTTCGCTCTTCTTTCCACCAGCGGATCTCCGAAGAGGGGCGGTATCTTTGCCAAAGAGTGGTATCTCCGAGGAGCGATGCTTGCTTGTTCTGCGGTAGGTGTGTGTTTGCCGACCAAAGCAGAGAACCAACAAGCATCACATGTGGTCTTACGTTGCAAGGTGGGCTCCGGAACGGACAGAAGCCCCAGCGAGAAGGCCTGTGCTGTTTCTGGCCGTGCTGACGCCTCTGAAGTCACCTCAGACTCAAACCCGCAAAACAAAACTGGATCAAAACAAAAATATAAATAAAGGAGTCCATCTTTGCGGACTCAAGCACTGAATGAGCCACAAAGAAGATGGTTGCAAAATCGATGCCGCGTCCACACACCAAACCACCCCTTTCCCTTCCCCCGGCAAAAAGCCAAGCTTCGTCTCGGACTGCACTACGAAGGCAGCCGCATCCACAGCGAAGCGGCCTTGCAAGTTTGTTTGGGTGACTTGGTCTAGGGAAGTGTTGACTTGGATTGGCGTGCTTGGTTTGGTTGGCTGACTTGGTTGACTTGGGCGATGGACCCGGCTTAGTTTAACGAAATGTCGACTTGGTTTGGGGACCTGGTTCAGGCACTTGGAAAAAGGCGCTTCCCATCCAGCTTGGGGATCCGGTTTCGGAACAAGAAGCTTGGGCTTGACAGTTGCCCCTCGCTCTCTCCGGGCTTCCAAAGAGAGGATGCCTCGAGTGCCGGTGGACAACATCTCTGGCTCTTCTACTCGAATTGAGTTGAACACAATACTGAGCCATCCAATGCGTTTTCAAGAGTTCAAAAGCACATCTGGAATTGTCCCGTGAATCCCTGATGCTAATAATTCGTGATGTGTTCAATCTCATTGAATAAAATTATATTAATCTCATGACTTTAATAACCATCTATCATCCGGTCACTGAATAACGCAAAAATATGAATTACGGAAATCGAAGAAACCGTCGGGACATTCCGAATCGACTCTTACCTGCCGGTTTCAAGGCGATCCCTCTCTAAATTCGTAACCCTCAGAAACAAATCCCGACAGGGCAAATCTGCAAGGAACCTAAATCGCCCTTCCTGCAATAGAAAGTAATTTACAATTGGGATTCCCATTGACCCATCATGAGCAAAAACAGGGATCTTTCGCCCTTCATAGTGTGGATGGACGAAATCCGTTTCGCACACCTAAGAAACCCTTATTTCTGATGATTGCCTTGCAAATGCCAACAAACGTTGTGGTTGCAACGAAGGTTTTTCATTTCCTGGTGCAAACGGAAGAAGCCTCCCCCACTCCTGACACAGCCCCGCGGTCCCGCGGTCCCATCCTTCGTGCAGTGCTCGCGTGAGCTCCGAGGGCCGCTCGTCCGCCTTGAAGAGCCTGGAAACCGGCTGGCAAAAAGCCTGGGACAAAGCTGTTGGTGCGTTTTCTTGAACCAAAAAGCCGGGGCAAGACACGTGTGACGCAGCTTCCTCCAGGGTTTTTGACAGCCTGTGACCTTTTAGGAACCACACATTCGAGGGCAGGAAGAAGGCTCTGTCGGCAGGAAGGAGGGCCCCTTGGGTTTTTTTGATGGAACCCTGATTGAAAGGAGTTGGTGATTAGAGGAACAGCCCCCCAGAAAAAGAACGATGTGATCACAGGCTTCTTCTTTTTGGAGTTGGTACCCTGTTTTGGTGGTTCTAAGTGGAAACCAAGAGGAAAACCGCTGCGCCATTTTGGGGCGGTCTCCAAAATGGGGGGACCCCTAAAATGGCCAAGGGGGTTCTTTCGGGTTTTCCAAGAGAAAACCCACCCCAAAAAGGGTGCCCTAAAAACGAGACACCCCCGAGCGACCCTGACACCCTGAAAGGGACTTCCGAGTTGGGCCTCGCATCTCGGAGGCCTGCTGGGTTTGATTTTTGAGTCCTGCAGGTGGCTGTCATAAGCACTGCAAACATGTATAGGCTGTATAGGTATCAAACCGCATGCGTATACAAATACAAATGTCGATTGGTACATACGTGAGTAACACCAAACAGGTTCACCGCGTCCTGTCATCTCGGAAGAGGGCTGAAAAAGGTCCTCGCGTCGACGTCATTCTAATACTGGGGTGGCTGTGAATGCCGGATGTAATAGATCAACATACATGCTGCGAAATGCAACAAAATCACATGCGCAGCCCCTCTCTTCCCCGTCTCCCTTCTGCCCCTCTCCTTCGGCCCGCATCTCCCCCAATCCCCCGCCCCACACCCCGCATTCCCCGCATCTCTCCACCGCCCCGCCATTCTTCAAAAGGGAAACTACGGCACACCTCCATTGCAAGAATGCTTGACCCAATTTGGATGAAACTCGTTAGGCAAGTTTAATGGTGATTACCCCTTCTTTTTACTGGTGACCCTCATGGTAAGGGCAGTAAACATGGAACCCCGCACCCCTCCCCGACTCGCCTGTCGTCCATGGGCCAAATCCGGATGACGCGATCCGCCATGGCCGCGGCCGCGGACAGCACCGTGATCTTCACCGCGTCGAAGACGCGCGCCGTGTGGCTCTTGCACCGCATCTCCTGAGCTTTCAGCCGGGGGCAAACGGGCAAACGGGCCTGGAAAATGATAGGGTTGCAGCCTTTGGAGATTTGACTTGAAAGCAACACGCTGAAAACATGATAAGGACGAATTACTTTCAGCACCCAACCTTGCCATCATGGGTGCCAATGTTGCCCTGAGGCTCGGGCTCTGGCTCGGCCAGCGAGCCAAACGACAAGTAATAGGGCTACGGCCTTTGGGGCAAGGACGAAACACATCTTAAATGTCATGGGTGGATCTGCAACCTTTAGAGATTTGACTTGGAAACAAAATCGCTGAAGAGCATGTCCATGCGTGGCCTATCTGTTTCACCTGAAAGAAGAACTCGTCAGGCCCAGGCGCCGGCCGTGTCTCGTGGCTCCCGAAATCCGTTTGTCCGAGCTTGGCGGACTTCGTGGGAGGCAAATGGGACTTACGCGAGCAAGAGTAAACTTTGGCCCAGTTCACCTTCGAGGGGTTGGGAGCCCAGCCGGGCCTTGGTTTGTCACCGCCAGTTGACTTCGAATTCAAAAAACTCAACTAGCAGCGAGCAATCGAGGCATAGGAAGCTTGTCACACTGCCCAAGTGATTTCTCCTTGTCGAGATGTGATCATCTTCGATGGGTTGGCACAAAG